GAGCTTGGAGTACTTGTGATGCAGACATACTGTGATGGTGTGTTTACTCTTGTTCCAAAAATGTAAGAACTTTTATACAGTCTTTGGTTTTTGACAGCCAAGAATGTAGTATAAAATTGATATCAAACTGTGAGATCGGGTGTAGAGAGTTGGGTTGGTAGACAGATAGTAGGCTGTAGACTTCAAAAGTTCAGCCTATATCATTGACACAATATCAATTGATATTTGACTTTATAAATGAAGATTGTGGTCTGCCCCTCTGTAGATCGACGATATTAGTGCGGGCAAGTTCTTTTTATCTTAAAAAAATTCATCGATAAGGACGGTCACGTGAATATATACTTCTCTCCAATTGGGGTTGTCCATAGGACCAGTAACCTTGATAAAAGATGAAAATTCTATCGATTATGTCTAAAAGCAACAGACTTGAGAAGCAAATTACACTTTATATGGTATAATTGACGTCCTAGTGCGAGAAATCCATTAGATAACACAGCGGAGTCTCGGCTATAGGCCAAGAGGATTCTCTCGGTTCTTAGACCAAATAGAAGCGTAAAAGGCCAAAATCGCAGTTCAACCGATTGAACGCAACCAGTCTGCAACGAACGCGAGAATTTCTCGTGTTTTGTAGATAGAAGATTTCCTACCATGAGGTATATTGGAAAAAGAGGACATCTGGCTTCAGTAGCGCCGAGAGGGGATGTCTGCAATGTTTATAAAAGAGAACGGTGGGGATTTGTAGTTGTGTGGGTGATGGTAGGTCTTAAGCCTTGTTTGAGTTTGTAAGGAAAGGTAGATACCTAGCAAATGTAGAGGAAGGGCAGGTGCAACCTTGAACTAATGAATGAATCAAAAGAACGCCTTCTTGCATTGGAGACTATAATGCAATGCTATAGCAATAAATGTATGAGTTTATGGGAGACTGATGATCTTTTTTTCACACTGTGCAATGCAGACACCCTGCCTGTTCAAATCCATTACATCACCTATTGAATGATTAGTATCATTTCCACAAAACCAACAAGAACTCCAAACATACCGAGCAATTATCATCGATGACAACTGTCCGATGTTCACCATCACCTGTAATATCATCAATTTCAACCCCAAGGCCCCCTTCACCCGTTAGGTTAGCAGCTAGGCGCTCGAGCATACTCCGCTTTATGTACAAGTCAGCAAAGAGGTCTAGACAAAGATAATGGGCACGTAATTTACAGTGATATGTGCGTCGCTGATGCCACCACGACGCTCAACATCGTTTTGGCTCATGATGCGGTAGCTTTCATGGACTCGCTTCCGGCTCTCGAGGCCACCGATCCTGGAGGCGTTTTGTCCAACCTTGTTGGCTGGGTTGTCGGGGTCGAGGATGTTCACACCATTACGAGCATCATCTTGAGCGTGCTGGTCTGGTGAAAAGACTTTGATGGTGTTATCGATTCCTGAAGCGGCGATCATTGGTTCATAGGGGTGACCTAATTCACAATGTTAATTTTTGTCTTCCTAGTCAGGGAAGAAAATTACCTTGAACAACATTGACAACTTCACTATCACCTTCTAGGATGTTGACCAGGTTGGACGTCTTGCGGTCCCAGATGAATATATGACCAGAATCACAGCCACTGACCACGAATTCATCATCCAGTCCAAAATAGTTGACGTCTTTGACGGTCTTGACGTTGCAATGGCCGCGATAACTTCGCATATAAGGTACGCGTGGAGCATGATTTTCGATATCACGTCGCGCCTTTCGAATGGCATATCTATGGGCCATAGTGCCACCGGAACCAAGCCCTTCGCTATCTTCATCCGAAGATGAATCCGTGGGCCAGCCATCCAGATCTTCGTCGTCAGTTGACTCCTCTGCCTGGCTGCCATCGCTCCCATCTTCGCCTGTATGAATATCGCTATTGTCCGAAGAATTTGCATCGCCTTGGGAGCTTTCAGGTCGAGGATCATTCTGCCTGGAAACGGAATCACTAGCCCTGATGGGTTCAATGTGTTGGGCTCGTTCTTCCTCCACATCGGGATTGATATCATCCTGGACTCTCTCTTCATCTGATTCACTCTCGGACTCGTCCGTTATGGTGTGAAGTCCACCGAAAGCATTGTTGACAAATCTGTAATTTACTTCGCTGCCTGTCTCCATCAAGATTCCTCTGCCTACTCGCAAAATCCAGAACCTCTTCGCAGAGGCACGGTCAAGCGAGCGGATTTGCGAGACAGGATTAGAGACACGGCGCCTGTCGAACCGAGCAGCTGAGTCCCCAAGATCTTCCAAAGGCAATCTGACAGCATTTCCGAATGCTGTCACGGCAGCTCGTTGGGTTGGGAACAGAATTCGCGTACTGTCATGCTCAAATCTGGAAGCATCCACATTCACGATCGGAGTATCACGCGCAAATTCCATAATGTAAGGCACTAGTATTGTTTCGATGGCATCCTCTTCGGATTCATCTGGGATTGGGAATCGGCTATGTAATCGTCGAGGGGCATTGCGGCGTTGAAATCCCTCCAAGAGACGCTGCCTGCCGCCCTGCAGCCAGAGAAGAATTGCTCGGAGGAATTCGTAGCCAAACTGAGCTGCTGGGTCAATGGGGTCATCTTCGCCCGGCGCAGGCTTGATCATCAGGAAGCTTGATCTTGATTCTTCCGGAACTTGTGTTTGATCTGCCAACTCATGGGCAAGTGCGCCAGCAGCTTGGACAAATCTCCATGACGACTGGCGATTGCGACGAAGCGATTGTTGGAAATTGACAGTCTCCTGTGATGGGTTCATGGGATAGCTCCATTCGCGCATGACATCGCCCATTTGTGGGAGAAACGTAGATGCAATTTGTAGGGCGGACGAAAAACATCTCGAGTACGATTCGGGTCCCACCTCGTCAGACCCTGCGGCTTCCCGAACTGCAGTTTCTGAAAACAGGGCCTTTCGAAGTTTCACTAACCCTTTTGCGATCTGCATGCTCAATCGCTGGGCATCATTCAGCACAGAATATCGAGCCTGCTCGAGCAAAGGCTCGGGGCCGGTGTTTAGGACATTATCCGAGAATGGGAGGAATGGAACATTTTCTGCTTCGCCATTCCCATATTGAATCCTAAGAGTATCTGGTTCTGCTGAGCGACGATGGGACTGATGTCGGCCACCACTTTCCTGCGATGAAGGTGTTGCGGGTTTCTTGCGCTTCCGGCTCCGTGAACTGCGGCGAGGCTGTCCGTCCTTGCCCTTGAGAGTCGATTTATTGCTCGTCTGTGTCTCTCGGGCATCTGGGCTGCGGATTAAATCGAAACTGTAGATGTGATCGCCAGACCAGCTAACAACCATCTCATTGGGGTTCGCATCACTGATTTTACAAGCAGTTATGTGTCCATCATCAGCATACTTCCCATGGTGCTTGCCGCCCGGTGCGAATCTTCGCACGCATCGTGTCGCCTTACTCATTTCCTCGTCATCGTTAAGGCTAGCAGCGCTTGATGTAGCCCTGCCCCTTGCAACAGAAGTGTCCTGGCCAAGCATTCGCCTGTCATGCAAAAAGCAGTGGAGGTGCGCACCACCCAAGGCAATATAATGCGGCTGACTTGGTGAGCAGGAGATGGTATTGAGATCCAGACGGTATGGCCGGTATGAGATTAGAGGCGGTGGAACATTGGGGTCATCATTTTCCAATCCTTGTCGGTATGCCATGAAGCCATGGCCACCCCGTGGCGGAGGGTATGCACTAGATGGTAGCCGCAGATCCCACTGGCGGACGTCACCATCCTCAGAGCAAGTGAGGAAGAGAAACGGGGAAGATTCGGTGACTATGCGCTTCACGCTATCGACGTGGCTTCGATACAATCTAGCGTTGGTATTGCCATCACTCAGATACCGCGTGCCACTGAAGAACTCATTGAAGCGCCGGCTGCGAGTGGAGGCTGCAAATGCGGAGGTGGCAGCATAATTTCTACTGCCACTTGAGTATTCGATATCAAAGACGCGAACCTGTGAGTCGCCGGCACATGTAACCAGAGTCCCATCGTTCGAGTGTGGCATAAACTTGACGGAGAAGATGTTGGCCTTATGGCCGGTGAAGACGGTGGTATTGAGCGAGAATGGGGCATCGGAGGAGTCGGGTTGGTAGGAGTAGATATTGAGGTGCTTATCATCAGAGCCTGACGCCAAAAGACGCCCTGACCTCGACCAACTGCGAGACCGTTAGTATGATAAGCATCAGAAATAGCGGAAGTGTTGGCCAGTCGATGAAACTAAGTGCTTCGGCCTAGGTAAAAGCTATAAACATACCTGAGGGCATTGACACATCCAGTATGCCCACCGAGTTCATTCACAATGTCGAGATCATTGACCCATTCCATGGATCCGTAAATTCCCCGAAGCCCAGCATACCGCACCTGTTCCCCGCATTCCCGGCGCCAAAGGCGATCGTAGAGCGAGGTTTTCATGGTCACTGGATCAGATAGGCGAGAAAGCTGAAATTCTTCGCTAGGTACGATCGGCGATCATCTCGAAAGGTACTGAGCAAGTGGGTACCGTCTCTTTGCGGGTGACTTTAGCTGTCAAAACGGAAGCTGCCGTGGATGACGTCAAGAAGATAACTGAGAGATAACTTTTGCAAGGTTACATCACCCCTTTTAAGATAGATCATCAGATATCTGTATGGTGTGGAAAGTGACAACGGAGTGAGAAAGACATGAATAAAGCAAGTATGAGGGGAAAATGAGCGGGTTCGCGATACTGCAAGATCTAGATCACCCCAGGTTGAGCCCTGGAGATAACACTGGCTGACTCATCGAGTTACCACAGATAAGGTACCGCGCAAGCTATGGCTGGCTGCAAGGTACATGAGACGAAGTACTATCAGTCATAACCCTCATATCCATTCACGCTGCTGGTATTATTGTTTCGTTTCTTTTTCATTTCTGCATAATATGCATATTTCTATACAGGTGGTTGAAAACTAGCTATGGGTATTCGTGGGCTCAAACAAAGAGATATAAACCGAAAACTAGCTTCTCCATGCCCCGACCCGGGGAGCTCTTGTTTCCCTTTCAGAGCCTGCCAGCTTGGTCGCGAGAAGGCCAACAAAATCTCTTTCTGAACGCACCATTTCTGTTTCCAGTGTTTGCATGGCACGGATCTCCTGTGTCATGAGTAGTATCAATTCAGTCAGATTCTTGGCCACTCTGGCAAGAGCAGACTGTTCTAGACGCTCCACTTCCCCGAAGCCCAGGATGTCAAGGACTTGCAATTGGCGTACACATAGTTCGAGCCTCACATTTAAAGTACGTAATGATTCTTTCCAGCTTCGCGCCAGGGGGTCAATAAAGGCGCCGACATCAACGCACCCTGGTCCGCGGCTATGACGAATAAGCTCCGCTTGGTTAAGCCAGTCTTCGAATGTCTTCACAGCCTGAGAGTACTGTGCACCCCGGCTACCAGCAATCATGTCCGAGACATCTTGTAGAACCTGTGACAAAATTTGAATCTGTTCAGAGAAGTCATGTGGACCGCGATGTTCACGACAATTGGAAAGCCAAAGCCCTATGGCCTGCGCATTCAGGCGACACTGCCGCTGCGTTTCATCTGCCAGTACCAAGCGGTATTGGCTAGCGACACTGTCGTACTTTTTGCGCAGACGTGTCTCGGAATCAGACTTCCATTCAGCATGGCTTTGCAGTGAGTTGGAATGGAAAAGACTGAGCTGAAGAAGTTCTGTTTGTAGTGCTGCAATATCCGGCCATGATGAAGAGATCAGAATATTCCCAGGCTGAGTTTCGGCTCCAGGGGTAGGCGTTGGGGGTTTGGAAATTTTCTTAGGAGACGACTGCCGTTGGTAGTTTGAGAGTGTTCGTGCACGTTGGCCAATTGGTGGGGTTGTCTCGACTTGTTTTGTATTCTGTACCAATTGACTCCTATGCCGCATGTGGATTTTGGCTGCCACAGGCGGTCCCTTGCTGGCACTGACAGGTTGCCTTAAAGAGAGCGACCGTGTGGGGCGTGGTGGGGGTAGCATCTCTGTTTTCTTGGGCGAAGGGGGCCTTCTGATCGTAGAAGATTGGACCGGGGATCGTCTTCCTGGCGGTTTGTGGGGTGAGGGTGGCACGAATGATGGCGCTGAGCTCTTTGACGAAGGGATTGTAATCTTCGCTGAAGGAATCCTCAACCCACCAGGTCGCATGATACTTTGACGACGGCTGGGTACCACCCCGGTCTTCCCTGCTGTAGAGTCCGACTGTGTTTGCTTTTTAGCCGGCGATATCTCTCGCTGTCTAGTTGGTGACGGGTCCGCGCGTGGTTTCAGCTTGCTGCTCGGTGGCTGAATGCGCCCGTATCCCGTTGCACGACCATTGTCTTGGGCAATATTGCTGCGCTGGGGAAGTAGGGTCCTTCCTCGGGCAGTGACTCCATTTTCTTTCAGAGGCACACCCTCGACCGGCGAGGAATTTGATGGCGAGCGGGTCTTGTCATTCGTTTCTCGGGTAGAGTCCTTGTTCAGGCTGGCCGTGGTAAGTAGTGCAGGGGAGGGTTTCGTGGCAGGTTGTGCTATATTTGAAGTCTGTAGTAATTAGCATGGTGCCATATGTCGTTGTTGGCATGGCAATGGTGGCACAGTCAGGGATGCGATAGCTGTGGGGAGCTTGACGGATAAACAAACGGGGGACTGACTTGTTTACGGGGGTCGCGTAGCGAAGCCGAACGTGTTGGGATGGGCATCGTACAAGGTCATCAGATGAGAATGGGCATGATGCATTCCAAGGTTGGGTTCAAGAAATTCAAGAAATTCAAGAAATGGGCGCTTTGTGGTTAATGGAGAATCGGAAAGCTACCCATGTAGGTGTGTGATCTTCCTGGTTACCCACACTTCTATTCTTATAGCTTTGTTTTTCGATCCTTTAGAGTACTTCATAGGCAGTACAAATGCATGCAAAATTAATTAAATTGTTTAAAAAGATTATCCAATACGTATATAGGTATATATTAAAAAAATGAAAAGAAAAATGATTCATTTCAAAAATCACATAACCCACTACACCACAGAGGTTCAGAGTTCAGACCATTTCGGGTTAATTATTACTTTGCACCATATGGGAAATTGCTTGAGGAAAAGAAAACGTTCATATTATATAGATATTGTTTGGACGTTTTGAAAATCCAAACTGAACAAATCCCATATTTCCCCGTCGACGAGTATGCCCCTCATAGGCAGCCTCTGTCGACGTTGAGCTAACCGTCACTTTCCCATCAAATCTCGCCCTGATCACTCTCACTATCTCATTATCTCACTATCATGTGTGATTTTTTTTTTTTTTTTTTTTCAGAGACTACTAACTACAGCTAAAATTCATGTTTCACGAAGAAATCAATTCCTATCTTAAAGGGAACTACCAGCCGCTCTCCCGTTCCAGTGCCTCCAATCGAGCGATCAATCCTTCGGCAAATGCAAAGGACCAGGAGTTCCTAATATAACACAGGAGGTGTTAGTACAGATCAAAACAGCGGAAATCATGGCGGCCGTGTCAGTAGCTGCCTGGCCAGACCTCATTTCCACAGAACGCATAGTACTTACACAGTATCGGGGGCCACAGAACTCACAGTGGAGTTGAAGTCCTCACCCCACTCCGCAGCCTCCAAGATAGCCGAGGAATCAGAAATCCCAATTCCAGCTCCAAGCCCCGAGTTGGTGTACACAGTATCCATGGACTGGAAGTCACACTTCCATCTTCGGATTCTGAGGTGGACATGGCAAGCAAGGGAACAGAAGCCTCAGGTCCCCAGCTTGACTTGGTGGTGTACGCGGTATCCAGGGGACTGGAAGTCGCACTTCCAAGTTTAAACTCTGGGAAGGACTCAATTGAATTGATGGATCGATATCCTGAATGAGTGTGTTCCGACCAGGAGTTCATTCTCCGACTGTACAAGCCAATGCGTCCATTATCCACGTTTGGATTAAAGGTCCCAATACTTCCCATGCTGCTCATGCTGGGCTCAATGTCAGAATAGGCATAGCACATGATTCTGCTGTACATGGTAAAATCGACGAGGTCCATGTTGACTGGAAGGATGTTGGTATCGGGCCACAAGTTAATGAGATCGATAGTTGGTCTCATTCCGATCACTTTCTTGTAGCGAGCATGAGCACCGCCGTCACCGGACCACATATTAATCAAGTCCGTGGAGGAACTCGTTTCAAAGCCATTTGCGTTGTTGTCCGGGGTAGGGGAATCGTTCTTCGAGTTCACGTCGATGGAGTTGACGTCAGTTGCCAGATCGGCGGCCGCTTTGTCTTTGTCCGAAGAAATTTCGATAAAGTCAACGTCAGTACAGTCAGCCCCATTATCAGAAGAGAATTCGATGAGGTCGATGCTATCAGCAACACGATGGAAAGGGGGATCCCATAGGTCGTCGGGATTGATTATCGGACCACGAGTGACCTTGTTCAAATCGATAAAATCGACATTCTCGGCGGAATCAAATGCGCCAGTATCTAACTTCAAGTCGACGAAGTCAATGGCTACCAGTATAGCGTTGGTGCCATTGTTTGAATTGAAGTTAAAGCGGTTAGGGTTGGTCGAACGCGCGGGCTCACGGTCCGGTCTCATAGTCCTCGGACGGACGCTTCGCACAACGCGATTCTCCATACTGCTGTATTGTGTTAATAATGAAAAATGTTTTTGGGGATATAATACTTCTCAATGAAGCTTTCAAAACAGCAAAATTGATGGAAGGTGGGTGGTGCCGATGGAGCGTTGGTGGTGATAGTGAAGTTCGGATGATGGACTGAGTCTCGATTCAAATGGCGCGCGTTGAGTCCAACGCTAAAACATTTGTTCTTTTTAGTTTCGAGGGTTGAAGACTTGGACTCATTCAATGCCTAGATGTTTGCTTTGGCTTTTACATGGTGCCAGTGAATTTGATATGTACTATCCTGTTTGATACAAAGATTTACTTAGTAAATATGCTGCATGAACATCGAGTATAGAATGACCATAGCAAGCTGCTCTACAGGGCCTCACGGTGTCAGTGGTACAGTGATTCTTTGACCAAGGAGATCTGCTAGTACATCACGATATGCATGAAGAGTTGGATTCCCAGGAATCATTATATTCAACTTCTAGGCCGGGAACACTCTTAAGAAGTTTATTGAATGGTTGCTTCGCTCCGCCGTTATCAGGAGGAAGTTATTTGTTCTAATGAATGTTTACTCTAACTACCTAACTGTATGGAACCAAACTTGATACCGGGCTAGGATTTGTTAAGAGCAGAGATGCCTGATGTCGGTAAATGGATCGCTCACATACGGCGAGCCGGTCCGCAAGATATGTGTTCATAGATCCCAGTAATCATATTAATAAGGTGGTCTGCATTTATCGTCGTTGTCTGTCGTGCTTGCAAACCTTAGCCCCCTCCAACATTATACGTGGAACGTTTTGATGACATCAAAACCGATGTCTCTCTTTAGTATAGTGTATGTCGTCTAGGTGGAAGTGGCCCCATATGGCTGGTGCGGGTATTGTTATGAGTCAACTAGGTAATTGCGGTAAGAACAGAAGCCGGCCGCCTATTCTAATATACTATGAATTGAATATAGGCTCCGCTAATAACGAATTTAGAATGAGTTGGGTCCTGATATGATGACCAAATTGCCAAATTGAGCTGGCTTCATTGAGTAAAAACTTGGGCTAGCAAGGTACAATAAATCTTCATTGAACTTGGCTTTGGTTGTGGATGGAGGATTTTATAACGGCCGTTCAGAAGCGGCAACACACTGCCTGGACTAACCCAGATTTCACCAAAGAGACAGCCCTAACATTCTCATATGTGGATCCTGTAACGCTAAGGCGACCTCTGTACTCCCTCAGTAGATAGTGACGACTTATTTGCACTATATCTCATGTTAGCCATTTGCTATCATGTTTGACCATGTCTGTTTCCAGAAGAAGAGTAACGACCGACTTACCACACCTCCACTACACCTTCCTTGTCCGGGGCAGCACAGGAATGTGCCACCGTTGCAGTATTGTCCCTTCTGGGAGCACCCAGCTCTCGCTTCGAGGTTTGGACCAGCTTCGGCCATTGCGTAGGCAGCTAGTGCAAACAAGACGATAAACAGCTTCATGTTTGAGGAATTGATTTATAAATATTGTTCTTATAAAGATTGTTCGAAATCGTTTGTGGGGTCTAAAGAGATAATGTTGAAGACTGCTGAGGAATGAGTTTCTATAATCCGCGCGAACGCTGGGCTTTATATAGAGCCGGTGCCATCTTTATTATTTCCCTCATAGAAACAATAGATTGCAGATCCTTAGGACTAGACGCGCTCAATATGCCAAACTATGCCTGACTGGTTCGCCTTTTAGGGGTTACATTGCAGGATCAGATCAGTTGACACTACAATACCTTGAAGCTGAGAAGAATCAGCCCACCCAACTTGCAGGTCTTTTCTCAAACGGCAGAGTCTTCATGTAGATCGATCTTGGCATTCTTGGAATACGAGTGAGCATTCGTGAGGGTTATCCCCACCTGATGGAGATGATGCACATAAGCGTGCACGAGTCGTGGGGGCGGGGCCTCACAATAGCGAAGGGGGATGGATTGAAAAACTGATATCAGATGGTATGTAGTTGAAGAGATGCTATAAAAGGTAGGCACTTTACCTTCGATGTAGCTTAAGAAACAATCATTACTCTATCAATTCGTCGAACTCCAATTCCCACCAGAAACCCAACTACATATCCCACAAACACCTTCAAAATGCGTTTCACTATTCTAGCGCTTGCAACTGTCATTGGTCTGGCACTTGCCTCACCCATTGAAGCCGACGCAGGGCCGGCGCTTTCTTCGCGGTCCAATAATTGCTTCACTCTCTGCAAGATTGATGGTGGAGTAAGTTAATTTATCTTTTATTGCTTTATTCTAGCTAATATGATCAATTATAATAGAGTGACCAGGGTTGCCTGGAGAAATGCAAGAACAGCTAGGAGCAGTACGATGACACAGAGAAAACCAGACAATACAACGTTGACAGCCAAAACGGCCACGGGGGTCCACGGGTCTCAGCCTGATTATGTATTGACCAATTGAGCTTTCTTTGTGGACACGTATGGGGCCGGGAGACTATGATTGGTTGTGTTGTTTTATGTTCGTTGGTTATTTGACCGGCGTCGGGTCGTTTGTTGTACCTAGCGGTCAAATGATGAGCGTCATGAGTCTAGACAGTCTGAAATTCTATATGTCCAATTCACAATTCTCATTTTTGCTTCCGTCTAAAAACTCCAGTTTACATTCATGGTTGCCTAAGCTATCAAGGAGGCCATCAAGTTGAGCTGGTATGTACATAAGGAAAATCCGGGGTTGCATGGGTCGGATAGAAACGGGAGATCGACGCTGAGCTGCGTGGATGAGCCTGAAATATGTAGGGGGAAAGCGACAGCTCATACCTAAACCTGAGTCCTTGACATGTACATTCACTGTTTTGGTACTTCCGTATTTATCTATAGGGCAGAATAGAGACTTTAAAATAGTTTGATAAGGATTGGGTATATATATATGTCATCAATGATTTGTCTCCAGGTTTTAGCTTATGCTCTCTTGCTACCTAGATAAGGCAATATACAGCAATCTATAGTATACTAACTACTTAGGAGAATTTAGCCTTCGAAGATATTATATCCGCTCACTGTCCACATAGTTATAAGGTTCTGGACAATGTAGGCTCTCAGAAAGTACGTGGCAGACCCGAAACCGGACCTCCGAGATACGGACCGTGGACGGACCGTGAACCGATATCGAAAGACTGCTACCCCCTCTTGTTGGTCGACCTTATCTTAATAATTACTTGGCATTCCGGCTATTTCACCGCATTTCTGTCCAATCGATCAAAATTAACAGTCTGAATCCAGGGCATTAGAACTCCATGTGATCGGCTCAATCGGAACCCCCGCCCGATACATACGGACCGTCTATTGGAATCACAATGACTCTCGTTCCATAGATAAATACCTAGGGTAGCCTTGGGATTATTAGAGAGATAATAAAACAAGTTACAATTTCAAAATGACCTCAAACAACCCCTCGTACCTTATCATTGGCGCGGGTGTCTTTGGTGTATCGACCGCCTACCATCTCATCCAGAAGTATCCCAATGCAACGATAACTCTGGTCGATCGAGATGCATATGATGCCGAGTCGCGCGTGGCAGCATCATGGGATTGGAACAAGGTTGTCCGCGCAGATTACGATGACAAGGTCTACTGTAGACTTGCTCTTGAAGCTCAAGAGATTTTCAAAAACGACCCTCTTTGGCAGCCACACTTTCACCAGACTGGCGTTTACTGGACGTGTCGCAGTGACTACGCGCAAAATGTCATCACAAATCACAAGGAACTTGGTCGAAATGATGATATCATTGCTCTCCCTGTTGCTGAAGCCAGAAAGCTTTATGGAGGAATCTTTGATAATGCCGACTACACCGGTGTTAAGGAGGTTCTCGTGAACAGGGCTAGTGGCTGGGCTGCTGCCGGAGACGCTCTTCGAGCAGTGACAAAACGGTGCCTGGAATTGGGCGTCTCATACGTCACTGCATCCGTTACTAACCTTGAATTCGATGGTCGTGGCTCTTGCACCGGTGTCAAGACACGATCTGGAGAGATATTGTCCGCCACGCATGTGGTCGTCGCTGCGGGTGCTTTCACACCGACATTGCTAGAGTGGAGTGCTGCGAAAAGCGGCAATCCTGGGCTACGAGCCGGAGAGCGAATTCTCGCGGCTGGTATCACCACTGGAATGGCACAACTCAATGAGAAGCAATACGAAAAGTTCAAAGACATGCCTGTTGGCTTCCAGGGTTACACGCCTGATGAAGGTACGCTTTTCCCGGTATATTTTGCATATGCATGAATGGCCACTAATAATTACCCAGGGAAACCCTTCATTGGCACCCTTCCCCCAACTAAAGACCGCGAGCTCAAGTGGTGGGGATCTAAGATTTTCACAAACACCCGAGAAGTACTCCCTGGACAGTACATCTCTTCTCCTCCACCCACACATGACTACAACCAGTGGAAGGTTCCAGGACCTCTCAAGCAGGATATTGTAGAGGCCAGGAATCTGTGGTATGGGCCCGAAAGTGCAACATGGGAGATGACGAAACACCGTATTTGCTGGTTAGTGCTTCCCCTGACAACGCAATTGGTTACTTTTTTTTTAACACTCGAAAAGGGACGCTTTCACTACTACCTCCGACTTTATAATTTCGCCTCACTCTGCCTCCAGAGGACTATACATCGCCACTTGTGGTTCGTTCCATGGATACAAGTTCTTCCCTGTACTTGGAAAGTACATCACACAGATGCTTGAGGGAGAATTGGCACCGGAATTGATCGAGAAGTGGGCATGGGATCGACAACGACCTGACTCGTCCGAGAACGTTGAGTACCCGAACTCCGAGATGAAGCATTTATTGGAACCTGCAGCGAAGTTGTAAAGGAAACATTTTGATACGCTTGATATGATAGATATAATGTGGTTTGAATTGACGTTCCAAATAATTTTTTTATATGGTAATGCTGTTTGGCATTATATATACCCCAAGTTAGAGCCGATGCTTCTTTATTCCCTTTTGAATTCCTTATCCTTGATGTATAGTCTTCTATCTGTTCCCGGGGGGAGCGGAGAGGAGAGAGTGTAAGTGGATTATATAGCACAAGTGCGGCTGCCGGCTTCGACATCTCCCATTCCCTGGAACGCTATCGATGTCCCACAGAGTTGTCGGTTGGTTATGCATGTGGTCTCTAGACTTGTTTGGGGCGATTGTTTGTACTATTCCAACTCGAAAGATCTAAAAGAACACCAGGAGGAACACTTTTAATGACAAACAATAGGAATTTTCAAGGTTGAAACGTAGTTTCACTAGAGCTTGCCTGCTTTGCGCAGATGGATAAAAATGATGAAACAAATATGAATTCTATATTAGGTTTGGTCAACCTGTCCTAACAACAGACCAAAGTAGAACATCACTTTTCAACGCAGCCAGTGCATCCAATGCCACACAAGGCAGTTGCAAACTAGGAAAGGAAGCCATCCCCACATCCATACATCTCAAATCCCATCTAGCAAACCTCACACCTCAAAGACTCCCACGACGAGGGAATGAAACACCATCCACTGCGGGGTGATCGGTGAACCAGGTCACCTTATCACCAGCACCCTGGTTAACCAGAGCCGAAGGAAGACTGGAGCCCTCCTCAAGATCAAAGATCTGCTTAAGGATTTCCTTCTTGCCGGCGCCCGTCGCGACAAAGGCAATGTTGGAAGCATGGGTAACAACAGGCAGGGTAAGGGTGATGCGCTTAGGGGGAGGTTTGGGGGAGTTGGTCTCAGCAGCAACCCAAGCATCCTTCTCGCGAAGCAAGGCGTGGCCAGGGAAGAGCGAGCAGGTGTGGCCATCGGGTCCGCAGCCGAGGAGGATAAGATCAAAAGCGGGCAATTTGACACTGTCCTTAGCAGCAAACTCGCGCATCAGATCCTCTTGGTAGAGATCAGCGAGTTCCTGGGGATCGTCATCCTCAATGTGGTTCTTGTCGATGGGGTGGATGACCGGTGAGCCGAGCTCGGCGGGGATCTTGGAAACGAGCTCGTCGTTCAGCAGACGGTAGTTGCTATCCTCGTGGTCGAGCGGTACGGCGCGCTCGTCGGCGAAGAAGATGTGCCACTTGGAGAATTGGGGGGTATCTTCCGGGGAGCCATTGCCAGTGGCGAGGAGGGCTTTGGCTAGAACAGCAGGTAGGGAGCCGCCGGAGACGGCGAGACGGAAAGTGCCGTGTCGGGCAAGAGCAGAGGTCTGGCTGCGGAGGACATAGCCTCGCAATTGGGCGGCTAGCTCATCGGAGCTGGCAAAGCTGTGCAGGTTGGGGTGTCCGGTGGCCATGGTGATATGTGGGTGGGACAAGAATGAGGGGCAGGAGATATTTCGTTTTTTTGGCGGGGTAAGGGCCGAGATCTAAACGCTTTTTTGGGGGGGCTTGGCCTAGGCTTAGGGATGGACTAGATGGCAACGTAGCAAGTTCAGAAAGAGAAGAGGAAAGGGAATATGACGTCGCTGGCGAATCTAATGTCCACGGGTCAACGTGGGATGGATTTCGCCGAAGTGGGATGGGATTTCCAAGGATCGTCCAATAAGTTCATCCGGATATCTTTCCTTCCTACCACCTGGGCAAACCTCCGGGCAGGTTTGCCACACCTTATTCGACTTTCTCTTCATGGCCTAAACTTGCATGATTCGGTTCTGACCTTGGAAAATCCTTGGAAAATCCTAAGTATTCCAACATTCAGCCCTGACCCCGGGAGATAAGAAAATGACGGGATCTTCGTCATTAATTTGCATAATCTAACCCCAAACATAAATATGTAAATATGTAAAATTCCAAGATATCACCAGCATTTAACGATAAATGAAAAATGCATAATATCTCAATGGGTCGACGCGAAGCCCCAGACGCCCACCTACGTAAATGTACATTAGTGACTCTCAAAATAGGTATTCCCCTTTCTGACTTAGTTTTGTTTTAGATCAAGTATCAAGTGGGGAGAATTAATTTGGTGTTCAATGTATTGCCTCCTATATCCTCATTTTGCGGGTCAATGATCCAGCATGTACTGGAAAATGTCGACATTCCCTTCAGATAGAGAGGGGGGGAAAGGCCAAGGTTATGGTGATGTCCGATGGGTTTAGGTAGCAACGTTATTGGAATGAGCGCATAAAACCTTGGAAGCAGCCCATATGTAAGCCCATGTGTATCCTGCATAGATGATCGGCAAGAGAAGGGGGGGAAATACGGATTACTCCGTAGGATAGGGAGGAATAGAATAATTTTTTTTTTAAAAAAAAGCCTTGAATATTTTCCCTGTTTCATATTCTGTATCCCTTTTTTCCTGATTATCGAGTCAAATCATCATCACTTGGGAAAAAAAACTGGGGTAAACCCAGAAATCACGGGGCTCAGCCGCCTAACCGGGTTCAACTCAAAAACATGCGATTCCCCCCCTCCTCTCTTCCTCCCTTCAAAACTTCGAAATCCAAAAATGAGCTCTCCAGTACAAATCACTCCTCAACCTCGGACGGGCGGCGTTGCTCGTCCATCTGAGGCTACTTCTCCACAAACTCTCGACATCGTCCGATGTTCCCGCTGCCAACAATCTCTCAGCCTAGGCCAATCAGGCCGCAGCGTCGTTCAATTCGGTATGAACTCCTACTACTGCAGCCGTTGCGCAACCAAAGTCGGCTTCGGAGGGTGAATCAAAAACAATATACGAATCACGATAAACAATAAACCAAAACCAAAACCAAAACCACAATAAACCGGAGGATCTGGGGAGTCTAGCGAGTGGTTGACCGGATCAACATCACAAAAACCGTCTTTCAAACCAACAAAAAATCGTCCCCCTTCCCCGTCGCAAGGGTAGATGCGACTTCCTTTTCAAGGGATACCACTCTATCCCGTCTCTTCGATACTTTCATTCGTTTCCGACTTCGCCTTGGACCCCGGTTCGAGAGTTCCTGTGAGATTCTGTAGGCTGTGCTGGCACGGCCTGCTTTTCATTGATCGGATTTATTAAAGAATACCGAGGTTTATGGAGGATTATACAAGTTGGCTTCGGTCAACTGGATATTCTTGGGTGTCTGCGACCCCTAGGATGGCAGTTCTGGAGGTCAGTGGCTCTCGGTGCAAGAACCATGAAACCTTGGACCAAGGTGCGCTTGGGAAGTCATCACAATTGGCTCATTCCACTCGGTCGGCATCGATCATATACAACATACGGAGTACATTATATGTTGCATGCTGGATTCTTGCGTCTTGATTTGCCGACCCGGATTCTCTTGCAAGTTCAACTACTCTCTTAAGCAGCAGTGCTGTTTACATTTTGCATCCTTGTTATTTTGCTCTTCAGCGATCGCCCACTGGGTTCCTATCTCATTATCTCTTTCAAGCCTGTCTAACATCACATTTTCATATATTGAATTAGAATATTTCATTTCATCGTTTGAAATAAACATATAAACATGATCCTTTGCCTACATCTAGAGTTACTAGTTATATATGTAGTACACCTGCGACTCTGCCACATGAATAAACCCAAACATCCGCATTTGGCACCCGGGGATTTCAAAATCCCCGGTGGATGAGAAGGTAATTTTATGATTGACGTGAGAACCAAACATTATTCAAAACAGACTTTCCGCTCCAATTCGCCAGTAAAAGAGGTAGATTTGCAGATTGGCCCTGTGATCTCCCCTGGAGCCCAGTGTTTTGGTCGCGTATCGTCATACAGCGTCGTCTCACCCCATGCAAATCCCACATGCTTGGAATGTGAGTAGCTCCCTGTGTGGTCATTTGCCTTGTCTTAATATACTTTCAACAGTCGTACATGCCCTGTGACAGGTTTGTTGTAGTTATTGGTCCCCCCTTGAGACCGGCCCTGATTAAAGAAAAGGAACACAGAAGATCTATTTTGAAGATCTGTAAGACACTTGGGTTTTGCATATTCCAAGGGCACGGAGTACGCCGTGTAGACCTGTGCGGTAGAGGTAGTATTCCACATACCTGATTCTGACTTGCTGGGACCTGCAGTGTGACTATCGATACATGCCTGCGCACATAAGAATTTCGATGGATTTGAGCTGGAGTTCCAAGATTACCCTTCTTTGCTTCGATAATAATCCTATCTTCATATTTTTTCCAAATGTATCTGCAGGTACTTGGGAATCAAAATACGCATGGAAATCAATAGTCGATTCAATCGATCCAAAAAAGAAAAAATGTCAATAACTGCAAGATATGACTGCTCATGATCCGACCCGCTCTGATCGAAGATCCTTTTAAAAATATATATTTATTATATTTATTTTCCTTCCTTTCTTTTCTGTCCATTCTTTTACTTTTTTTGCTTTTTTTCCCAAGGGTTCCGATCTGACAATAGACACAAAAACCAATGTGATGAATACAGGTCCACTTTGCATGTACTCTGCATGTCCGATCCGGATCTAGCGGTGTAACACATACTATTAAGTCAGGTAAGCCAGGCTTTCCCAAGCGATTTGCCTCTGTGCACGGGTATACCCGGCACTTAATGTAGAATATCCTTAAATATTAATAGCAAAGAGGACGGGGGGGAAAGAGGACATATTACAGATCAGAACGATACAATGTCCTTAAGTGGAACTATACCCGGGAGTGGTGGGACGGCAGAACCACTCTATTGTATTCTAATATTTGGCAGAGCTGAGCTCATGATAAAAATGACATATCTCAGCCTGAAGGAGAAAGGGAACTGCTTATTCTCTGATATGACTGGCTACTGCTCATCGTCCGCCGTCGCCATTCGTCCAGATTGTGCAGTATTCTGGGTCCCCGTGATTTCTACTTGCACGCCATGAACAAGACTATATTATTGCTAGACTTAAGGAATTAATTTACTATATCATATATCATCAGAACTATTCTTGTGAAACCTCGACGCATCCTCTCTTTTTTTTTGCTTCCAACGCCTTATAATCCGCTCGACCTTCAGCTCGTGGAGGGGTTTATCTCTTTTCTCAGCAGTTTGTCGGTCAGACCAATTCGTTGACTTGCATTTATCCGATAGGGAAAAACAAAGGTATGCGTGTGCGATTTCGTTTCCCAAGAATTACACCTTGATTGCACCTTGATGCTCGGTGATATCGTTGTAGTCGTCCCGACCTAAGAAGAGTGGGAATGCAAAGGTATCCCCATTATTTATATACCCTAGGCTAACCTAGACCTCTGACAGAGAGTAAAATTGTCCTAAGTTCTGGATTTCAACTGAACACCTGGTCGGACAAGTCGAGACCCGACTATTTCGCAACGTTGACACACCGGGATACGTGCAAGCATCAACATTCTATTACATTTAAATCCATACGTTTTGAGCTAGTGCGCTTTCGGCACTGAAGCAGCGGAGTATATCAGTTTGAGATACCTGCAACCATGCCTCCTCCCGGTCGTGATAAAGGTCGTCCCAGACCACGCAGATCGGATGATGAGTTCGTCGTATTCCTTCAGGGCGTGAGTTTGAAACGGAGCATTTCAGATAAATTCATGGACTAACAAGTCATCCAGATCCCACCTCATTGCCGCTGGCAGGAACTCAAAGATCTCGTGCGCCAAACCGCACTGCATATTCGCCAAGCAGTAGTATACGATGATAGCCATGGATTCCCCACCGGACTCGGCCAAATCATCGTCAAGAATGAAGACGAGGCCTGGCGAACGTACCGTATGTATTCATATACCAGCAATCCTCAATGTCCCATTCTAACATGGCCATAGATCGACTTTCCACCAGCGGATGGGACGGCCAGAGTCTGGTCGTCACACTCTCACGGACCAGTACACCAACCAAGCCCATTGCCGGTCCTACCAGAAGTCCAGCGATGATTCCAGCAGGCTACATCTCTGGCCACACCACGCCTCCATTAGTACCTGGAAATATGGCAATGCCCCCATCACCGGTCTCGCCAGAGTCAGTTTGCCACCTTCCCAAGTATAAAATATCAAACAAGCTAATCTCCCTCACCCAGATCTTCCAATCCCCCCACTCCACCATATCCATACCCAGAGTACGGCGTTATGATGGTACCCATACCAATGCCACACCAAGGGTTCATGCCTATGATGCCAGATCCACACGCACCACCAATGCAATGCTACCCCCCATCCCCAGTAATGAACGGCACAATGTACGAGCCGCATTGGAACATGATCCCAGGCTACCAGATGTCCCCACCACAGAACTACCAACACTACCACCCCAACTCTCCCTCTTTCTACCCAGATCGACGATCCATCACAATCGAGAACTTGAACGCGACTACTACATGCGCCGATCTAGAAACCCTTCTGCGGACAGCCGGCACTGTCCAGAAATGCAGCATAGTCACCACGGACTCGGTCGATGGCAATGGCCAGCTCCGCGGGTTGATCGAAATGCAAACAGCAGACGAGGCCCAGTGTGCTGTGACCATGTTCAATAATCTGAGTTTCATGGGCTCGCAGATTATAGTGAAGGTTGATCATGGCTCGCATCTTGCAAGGGCTGTTAGCTTTGATGGGGGTTGTGCTGCCTCAGACACCGCAGGATCGGTGCCGGGTGGTGGGGATACGTCTCAGTCGTGGGCGGATGAGATGACTGCGGAGGCTAATGCTGTTGATTCTTGTAAGCCGTTGGTGATAGATGGGTCTGGGTTGAATAGGTCGGGGGAGGGTTTGTCGACGTCTGCGCCGACGTGATAGAATGTTCATGTATTATTCGAGGTTGGTGACGGTCGATATTCAAAATATCCATACTTTCTACTCGTGCTTTGCTTATTCATTGGCTTTTGATAGTGGTTTTTCTTGATCGTGTTCGTTGTAACTGACTCTGCTTCCTAGGCGTTTAGATTCTTTTAGATATGAATCCTCCAGCAAAGGGTTGTCTCTTCATTATAATGTCTATTCTTGGATTGCATAGACAGCTCTATGAGTGTTCAACCTCTCAGACCCCCCTTTGCTTCACTTACACCTAAAGATATACTTGTATTCCAAATAACTTTTCTAGATATCTCTATTCATTCTTCTCTACTCCATAGACCGCACTAGATACAAATCCGTATAGGCATTCCTATGTGGACACAACCTCTTCCCAGACGTAAGGTGCTCCAGCACACTCGTATCCTCACAATCCAAATTCCAAGGCTTTGCTTGCTCCTTGTCCTCTAAAACCGCCAACAAAGAACCAACCAAAACCCCAATCATCCTTGGTCCAAAAGTCGGCTTGGCAGGACACTCAAAGGGCGGACACCCAAAAGGCATAAACGCGTCTCCCTGCGCCGGCGTAAGAATAGACCAGCGATTCGGGTTGAATATCTCTGCATCAGAACCCCAGATATCAGACCTCAGATGGCAGCCCTCGATATCAGCGGATTTTATCTCATGAGATGTCCCCATAGCCTGGTCCCACTGATACGCTCGATGCACGTGTCTCGTAGGCACGTATAGTCGGAGCGATTCGAGGACAATTTGTTTGGCACTAGGTGAAATCTGAACACATTGCGTATCACTTATTCTAGGCTCATTGCTGGACGGGGACACGGCGCCTGCCTCGAATTGGAGTTTGGTAGGGTTCTCAGCGAACGCAACCATTGTATCTCGCCATTCACGTACTTCTTTCCCAGTTGCGAACCTGACCTCCAGGAAGGCTCGAAGGACAATTCGCCACATTGTCTCAAAGGAAGGGAGGATGAGGTTTAGTGGGTTATCCTCCGGGAGATCATGTTTCCCGAAGATATTGGCCAGAGAAGTCTGAAGCAATACATCGTCTTCGAATCTGGGAATATCGTTCTCAGCAGACTTTAGCTTGGAGGATATCCAGACTCGATTTATAGACTGTGCTAGGCTCAGTAGATTCTCATCACATGCCTGGTCTTGAGGCCTTTGCTTGAAAAAAAGACACAGCACAACTTTCAATGAAAGTATCTGTGCTAAACTCGCAATGTTTATTCTATTGCGGTCGACTCTGATCATATTGCTGTCGTGATTTCCTTCATGGCAGCTGCTGCCGCCGCTACGGTCCACTCCTGAAAAACCATGCTCGATCCAGTGGTTGGTCATGACTCTGGCGAACTCGGATACGCCCTGCCACTGCTTCGCTGATAGATTGATCAAAGGTTTGACTTTCTGGACGAACATGCTGGCATGGATGCTGTCTGTTTGGGTGAAAGAATTGTCGATTCCGAAGGCGATGGGAAGATGTCTATTGGCCATTGCTTTCGCTTGGTGTGGTGAGAGGATATTCGGTTGATCTTCGTGTTTCAATACGCCGGCAATTATTTGGCGACATAATGCTGGGTCATTTGATGTGTATTTGGTTTTCTGTCTCTGGCTCAATATCACAATGAGAAGGAGTGATATGGCGAGGACGATGAATGTTGCTAGAGCCGACGACATATTTCTCCGAATGAGCAATGATGGATTGGAGAATTAGTGGTCAAGTACAGGGCCCTATTTATAATGCAGACGATAAAAGAGGTCTAAGTCATGCAGGTTGCATGGATGAAGATGTCTTATTTGCTTTGTCTTGATAATTGGGAAACGACAAATAACTTTGGAAATAGTGTACAAATTGATGCTTTGTTCCGCGTGAAGATATGCCCTATGAGGCAGACAAAACAAGAATTGTTTTGTCTCAGAAGAACAGAGGAAAAGTAGGGCTTCTCCCTTTAACAAACGAGAAGGGAAGCTGCATGTTCCACAAGAGCAAAGAATCGGATTTCTAAAAGGGGGAATAATATCTCAACTCAAGTGCATTCTCAGAACGACTAGCCAATATTTGTGTATCATCAATTCATTCAAACAAGCGTGTTATCTTAGGTGTTCGTCAATGTAAGTCTCATATCCCATCCAGTCACCATACCCAATCGTTGTGATCAATCATATCAAAAACGCCATGAAACCCCGGTACTATGACATTTATCTCTCTTTTAGTAGGAGCTTCTCAGTGAGCTCAAACCATGTTTATTTTGCATGGCTAATCATCTCTGCATAAAGGTCCTCAGGGATCTTACGGACGAGGAGAACGGTCAAAGCAATGATCTCCTTTGCATCGAGGGGAGGGAATGAGCGTAGAATTTTATTTGGGCTATAGTCAAGTTAGTTGTTGTTGAATAAAAATCCAAAGGACGCTCTGGGACTTACCTCGGACTCTCAAAAATTAAATCTCGCATACGGATTAGCTGGGCGACAATGCATAGAATGTTCAGGTGTGGCCCATATGCAAATAAGAAATCCCACAGATGCAACACCTCTGGCAATGGAGGCGTGCAAGCGCAGAGGGTCAATACCGACGGGAATGCGTACAGCTCGGCGTGCATACCCTTGGAGAACAGATATGCTGCAAGCTTAGGCTCCACTATCTCAAGGCATCGGTCGACTAAACGAAGACCCTTGTGGACTCCGTCCATAGCACCACGGATATACCCTGGACATTCGCGTGTGACAAAGTAATGGAATAGAGCGAACGCTTCCACCTCGCTACGGGCAGCATAGAGGAACGGCGCACATAAGACATTCATGCCTTGGACGTACATCGCCGTATCACTTGTAGTGGTATTCGTGACCTTCTCCAGCTCCCCACCAAAGGGGGATTCCTCTGCAATGCTTGGTGGTGCGTTTACTAGAAGCTCCATCTCACGGCGCCGAGATGACGTCGGTCGAGACCGGGGTTTCGGTCTGGAATCGTGCAGTTTCCACGCCACCGCGTTGAGGAGTCGAATCAAGCTTGCCTCTGTGACTCGGCGTTTGAAGAGAGGATCTGTGGCTAGTGTGCGGAAGGTATCATTGCGAATTTTGGCGTAAGCGGGAGAACGGCCGCGGTGGATAAGAGCAAGGTAGTCATCGGTGGGCATAGGAGGAATGTCGAGGAGGACCAACCAAAGGTAGATTCGGTATGGCGACTATCATTTCGAAGTGTTAGACATTAATCTTGCAAAACAGACTGGGTACCCCTCACCATGCCATCTCCGTCAGCATCTACTCGGCTGGATAAGACGAGGTATTTGAGCTCTCGAAGCCCCTCGTTGGGATTTGAACTCTGCGGTCCGTCGCGCAAGAAGTTCTCCAAAAGCGATCGCTTTACCCCAATTCCTGACCCTGTTTTCCGCGCGGGTCGTCTCTGAGTCGCGGGTGGTGTTGCAGCAGCTTCACGAGAAGCCGCGTCGCTATTTGATCGAGCACGGCGATGTGCACGCGCTCGGGTTGCAGCACCAGGAGTTGCTGATGATCCGGGGTCAGCTTCGTTGGAGCCAGCTTGGCGAGAGGCCTGGGTCTGAGCAATGAGCGCGCTAGAGGTTGATAGCACTTGGTGGGATTGGATCTTTCGGAGAGTTCTCATGGTTCGCGGCGATGCGGGTGTGTCGGGGCCCGGGACCCCGAGAGCCCAGGAGGGCTGAGGTTTGGCCATTTTTCTTTTGCAATCAAGTCTGTATTGGAGGGCCACGATCAGACATCTTTAGGAAACGGGGTAAGATGAGTACAGTTGACGGGTGGAGGTGTATCAGATCGCGGTGGCTGGAGCTTTTCTGCCGATGAAATGCGGAAGGCGTTGGCTCCGACATATAGTTCCACTTCCACTTTTACTATTTACGTAGTGCACTATTTTTACCAAAAATTTCCATTGAGAATTGAATAACTAATAGTACATGATCATTCATGACAAGCTTTGTATAGTCTGACCTTTGCTTCTACAGACTTGGAATCTGTCAACTGCCAAAATGTTATAAGACGCAACCCCCCAACGCCAACTCAATTGAAACCCATATCTGTGGTAGCAGTTCATACATGTGTTGGATCTGCTTCGCGCTTTGCATTATTTCCATTATCCCCACCCATAACGCTGCGTACGAAGTCATGATACTGGAAAACCTCACCCCTCTTACCCATCCCGCCTGACTTCGCTCCTCGGCCAATAAATGCTGGGCGCCCTATAAACCCACTGAAGACTTCATCGATCTGTCTTTCGGTCAATCGTTCCTCTCCATCTTCTGGGAAGGTATGTAGTAGAGCATCACGTAATTCGGCGGCATCGATTTGCCCGTTGTCATCGTCATCAAACGCGGCAAGAGCATTGAGAAGCTCCTGCGAAGGTGACATCGATGCCATCAGTGCAGAAAGTGTATTCAGGAAGGTTGGGAAGTTCATAGTCTGGCCTGACCCCGGTGGGAAAAAGCGCGAGAGCGTAGAGGAGGACGAGTCTTGGCCTGTTCAAACACTTGGATTAGTTCCTCATGCCAATCTCAAAGGAAAATAATTGGGGGTTCTTCCTACCCAAAGTTGTCAGCACATCAATCACATCATCTTTGTCCACGAGCCCGTCGTTATCCCGATCGAGAACCTGGAAAGCTTCTCTAATCTCCCTCACTTGTTGCGCTGATAGCTTCCCAGCCGCATCACCAGCTGGGGCGGTAAAGCCACCCGTCCTTGTCCCAATAATCGGGGATAAGCCCCCTGGCGACCGCGCTCCTTTCGTCGGAGAAGGAGAGAGCTCTCTGCCAAAGTTCGGCTGGGGAATGGGCCGCTCGCTCTTCGGAGAACGCGATTCACCATCCTCCACAGTATATGATTGATTGAGCTTGCTGGGCGACACCATAGGTGTATATGCCCGACTGGGGGAGCTCCCTGGGGTGCCTCCTGTGCGACTAGCTGAGGGCGGGGAGTTTGGAGTGGACGGGCGCCGGAACGGGGATGCCCTCGGCGAACCAAAGGATAAGGGCGACGGTTTGAATGTGGGATTGTTGGCCTAGGTAATTGTCGATTAGTTAAATAGGTATCTCATTTTTAAAATCCTCACTCACCATAGTGAAAATCGCGTGTGAGGTGAATTATGAATTACAGACAGCCTATGACGAAGGCTTGCTTATCGATGTAAACAAACCCGGCACAACAACATAATTCTGCCACCGTCTTTCCCACCGCCATGTGCTATCCACATAAACATACACCAATTTATCCTCAGTTGCATACATATTATATTGTATGGTCCTTGCTTAGGTTTAATATATATAATTTGACCTTGCTACTCCATACATAGGTTTATACTGTTTGTTTATGGCATCCAAGTAAAATAGTCCCTTGCTGACTAGGTGCTGCATAAATTCGCATGCAGTGTTCATACATAGATCTAAAAGGAAGCATACTCGTCACATTAACCTTCCATTGGCTTCCAAGGATCCAACTATGAAGGATGATACTCGTGCACGCTAGGTCATATATTCAGCCTTTCTCCAGGCATGTTATACCTATAGAGCAGTCAAGTATTCTACCACCAATGTTGCCTCTTGCTATGCTTAAGTGGCGAATATTGCTTTTTGGTAGATGTTCTAGAAGTGTAACAATCGAATGTGTCAATTACGTGGCAATTCCTAGGTATAAATAGAAAGATCTGCAATGTGCTGTCGAAAAGAAGGGAAATTGCATTCTGATCGGCCTCCGTGTTCAACCCTGGAATTGTTATATGGATCTTATCGCCTTATCGTCTCTCCACTGTGGAGAAATCGCCCTTTTTCTTAACCCCTCTTAACCCCTGAACAGTTAATTCGAGACAATTAATTCAACTATTATTATCATTGGCCCTTGATAGTGTGCTTTTTGTGCCCCCGGTATGCCACTCGATTTATAGCTTGGCCCGGAGCAATCCTCTATCCGCAACAGCCCTAGAAGATGGCAACAACACTACCGTATCGACCGTCGAACGACTCCCTCTCCGCCTCGGATAACCGTCAAACAAGTGGTCTTCCTCGACTTTCGCCTGCGGCCTCCTTTATCGGACGCTCGCCCAGCAGCTCACACGGCTCTTTTCGAAGAACATCTACGGACCATGCGACCTCAGGCTTCAGGCCACGCCGCTGCAAAGCACAGTACCCGCTCGATTCGCCGGAGCGCCATGTGGAGTACATCCTGGTCGCGTCCTTCCATATTGATCGGGGCCCAATCATGGAACACCAGTATCCTGCTGCAATCAGTGGGGACGAGAGCATGCTTGCAGAGCTGATGCTGCCGGATCAGACGCATGTGCGGAGTCAGGACTGGACCATGTTCTTCTTGCACAAAGACACCAGCGGCGACGAAGAAACAGATTCGGCGGGCGGAAAGAATAAAAGAAAGCGGAAATCACAATACCATGGAAACCAGGAGGGTGCCGATATCCAGGACGAGATCTTCGACGAGACCTCCGATGACCCCGACAGTAGCGACGACGAGGGTGGTGAAGGGCCACCCTTGATGTATGTGCTGAATCTTGTCAACACAAAGCAGGATAACACTGTCCGGAGGTAGGTCGTACTTTCTTGTCTGAATGTACGAGTGCTAACAGCGAACAGAGGCGCAGTAGTCAAGGCAATGGCAATCTGTACGCGACATTCATTCCTCCACATTTACAAAGTAAGCTACTATGCTACTCCTAGGCCTAGCATACAGGCAATTCTGACTATCATACAGCCTTTACTCCTCCTAGCGCTGGAAGACTACTTCAAATCTCCATTCCCCGAAACTCTGGCATCCCTCTATGACGCCGTTAACGCCATGGACCTTTCATTAATGCCAAAAATGTCGATACTTGAGCGCCATATCTTGCAATCTAGCAACACAAAGGATATGTTTCTGGAGAAATTCGAGCAGATGATCCGCCAGCGAGAAGAAGAAGAACTCCAAGATGGGGAATGTCCGCCATCACCAAAGAAACTAAGCCGATACGCCCTACCGCGGGATACACATGAGTACGAGTCGAAGGTGGTCTACAACGATATCCCCATACCGGTGAAAATCCCGACAGTGATTTGGCCGGAGACCGTTGGAGACTTCTCCCTCATCAAGCTCATTCAGACGTTCGCCGTTCCGCATGCCACATCCCCCCCAGGCTTTCCCAGGGCATCCCCATTTGACAACCAGCGGTCCATTCACACACCCCGTTATTGTTCTTGTCAACGCTATCCTCACTCAGAAGCGGGTTGTATTTCTAGGACACAACCGGCCATCGGGAGAAGTTGCAGAGGCGGTCCTGGCGGCCTGCGCTCTTGCATCCGGTGGCATTCTGCGTGGATTCACTCGACACGCATTCCCTTATACTGATCTGTCCAAGATCGATGATCTCCTCAAGGTACCTGGGTTTATTGCAGGAGTCACAAACCCTACATTTGCCAACCATCCTGAATGGTGGGACGTTATGTGCGATCTCCCGACAGGTCGCATCAAGATCTCAAGTCACGTTGAAACTGCACCGGTAACAGAAGGGCTTCTATTCTTCCAACAGCAAAATTCCCTTTTACCCAACAGTGCGTCCAACACGACCCACGACCCAACAGGCGACACCCTATTCATGGAAGACATCCTCCGCAGCATCAGCCAACGCCACGGCGAGAATGCCGTCCGCGCAAAATGGCGAGCCTACATAACAAAATTCGTCCGCGTCGCCGCAGCCTTCGAAGAAGCAGTATACGGCGCCTCAAACCTCTATATCATTGGTCCAGGCGAAGAACTCTCTCCAGACAGCCCGACAGGCCACCAAACTGACGCCTCGGACCCAAAAACTCTCCGCGGCCACGGATACGTATGGACAGACGAAACAGCCAAACAACGCGAGCTCTCAGCATCCGTCTCCCGAATCGAAGGCTGGCGCAACACTCGCTCCTACTACTCCTACATCCAAGATATCGCAGCAATGTACTTCCCCGCGCGTCCAATCCAACGTCCAGACATCCACCACCACCACGACCGTCTCCGCGCCTTAAAACTCTCCCACTCCGAAGCCGCCTCCATCTACCTCGCCCTCTCCCACTCCGTCAAGGACTACGCCGGCATTTGCCAGCTCCTAACCGTCGCACCGGAGAACCAGGCCGGTCTCTTCTATATCAGCATGGGCCTATTCCATCCGGACCAGGTCGTCCGCGAAGCGACAGCCGATCTTCTCGATCGCATCGCTATACACCCAGCCGGCCGCCATTTCTGGACGCATGTTGGCCGCTTCGCGAAGTTGGGGTATATCCGTGTTAAGCGGGAACGAGACGCCGCTGCACAGAGTCCGATTTCCGGTAGCGGGTCGCCAGTTCCTACGAGTCCTGGGGCTAGCTTTGGAGGTGAGCCGCAGAGTCTTGTTGGTGTTGCTATGGGAGGAGGGTCGAAGAGGAGGAGCTGATGAGGGTTTGCGGTCCTGCGGTCCTCTTTGTTTTTTTAAATAACATTTCTTTTTGTCAGTGAGCGTTTTTGCCGTGTTATTTTTTTGCTGTCTTTGCCAGATTCTTCATGCGTGACGAACTATGCGTACTCGAACCATGATTTCAGATGTGATTTCTTTGTCTTGTTTATATTGGGTCTATTTATAGGTGTGGGTATGCTTGTGAATACTCATATACTGTCTGACGTCTGAGGAATATATTATTGACCTGGTCATTTTTGGCATTAGCGAATCTTGGGACTCAAACAAAGACAATATAAACGAATCAAGTCAAACCCGATCGGATACGAGAGGAAGTGAGTAAGAAAATAACAGAGTGAATAACTGCTACAGTGCGAAATATGGACAATATCACTAGAAATTACATACAGATCAAAACGATCAGACCAGAAAGAAAGCCAAAAACACCCTCGCTGACATCAACCATGGCCATACCCAGCCGGGCAGACGGACTCAAAAGGATAAACAAGAAAAGAGAGCGTGTATGAAAAAGAACAGACAAAATTATCCAGATCAAAACAAGCCTGTCAGCGTGACACCAAGAACCAAAGCCATGACAGTAATAACTCCAAGCTTGGGCAAGGGAACAGCAAGACCGGCGTCAGCCCTGACATCCGCCGAGCCAACAGTGATATTAGTCAACGCAAAGCCATCCCCACAATGCGCATTAACAATCTTCGCCGAGGGAAGATAAGTCGAATCAAGAGACTGACCATCCCGTATCGCCCACTCGGAAAACAAATCCATAGTCGCCTTCAAACATTTATTACAAGTCGGCGCATCCCCGCTAGTAAGCGGGGTACCCAGCGGCATGAGATAGACGCTGTAGTCATCGGGTACTGTTGAATTCGACACCGCATCGACGAAGCAGTAGTCTTCAGTCGAAGGGTTCGTGAGGCAAGTGGCGCGGTACATTGGTTCGTAAGCGACGAGATCGCGATACGTGCCCTTGACGACGGAGTTACCGTTTTCATAGTCGTCGCCGCAGTTATCTGGTTTGAGGAGATCGGTTGCGAGAGCGGTCATGATCGATGCGCACTGTGAAACATCTGCGGAACAGGATGTATCTAGGATGCGGGAGGTGGCGGGTGCTGAACTCAGCGAGTGGAAGAAATCGTTTGAGTTCTCGATTAGGAGGGAGATGGCGTTGCAGTTTGAGATTGTTGTGTTTGCGCGCCATTTTGCGAAGAAGTCGATACAGGTGCTTGAGTTCGCGAAGTTGTACGAGAGTGTATCGAAGGGCTTGGGTATTCCAGTTGTTGTGGGGGTTGATGCTGTGACGATTGTTCGTCGGCGTATTGTTGATGTTTCTTGTGTGGGTGTTCGTAGGGATTGTCGATCTATGGTCTTGATCTCTCCACTTGCATGCCAGGCCGATCGTGGCACGGTCAGGTCTGTGGGTTCCACTGATTCGGCCCGTGTGGGTGATAGACAGAGAATAGTAATTAGGATTAGGAGGTTGTAGATATGGTAAAGACGGGACATTTTGGCGTTATGTCATCGACTTGAGATCAAGTCAAGGACATCAACGGTCAAGTATGGAGTATTATGAGCAAGGACAGTCTTTGTATGTTAAACGAGTGACAGAGCTGTTGGTCGGCGAATTCGGAAACAAAGAAGTGCTTTATTCCAGCATTGTGAGTGTGATGAATTAGGAAAGAACGATAAATCAGTACTTCATTGAAAGGAGTGGCTGAGGAGATGGATTCCCTCGGAGAACATGAAGTTGAGGATGAAGTCGAAGTTGAGAAGCGTACCAAGGCAAGACCCGTTAACCCTGGAAGGTTGCAAAAAAGGCTAAAATGGGACGTTTTTAGTTCCAAGACATTCGCATTGGCCAAGGCCGAGAACGTGTTGCCAATGCGCTAAAGGGCTCCGAGGTACACTAGCACGAACTAGACCGTTCGATGGACTTTCGGGTTCAGGGGTGTTCTGCTGAGATATATCCCTTGGTGCGCTATTTTGGAGTATACTGCGTACCCCGTATTCCGTTATAGAGTAGATCTATTACCTAGTAGGTACTGCGTGGATCGGCCGAGACCATTGGAAAAGATATTGATATCATTTCCCGTTTCTGTTTTTCTTCTGCCCTTCCCCGTCTGACTGGTCTAGATATCATTCTCATCCGGAAACTGGATCATTCTGAAACTAAAAATATGGAATATGAGTATGACAACCCTGGAAAGGAGAATGAAATTTAGTCCGGTCAAGTAAGGCACATTTTGTAACACGTTAGGTCCACGGGTTGGACATCATTCTGGGTTTGGACCTCGGGACTTAATAACCTTGGGATTGCAGCACTTGATTGAGTCTAGAGTCTTATATTTACATATCACTATAACTGTGTACCCATATTAAATACTATCAAACACTATTGAATTATTTCTTTCTCTCTTCTCTCTGATAACGGACTCGGTTCTCGGAGCCAATTAGGTAAGAAGGATTTCGGTAAATCATCCCCCCGGACCCCCACACAGAGTCATACCAACATCCATATGAGATACTTGATAGACTCTTTATATTCAACTGACTTAACTTGAACTTATCATGGATTCATTAGTACCTGAGACCAGAGTTCTGGCTGTTGCCAGTCATGTAAGTGAAATTGCCTACTCCTTCAGATCATGAGCTGACATTTCCACTAGGTAGTCTACGGGTATGTGACAAGACTGATATCGCCGTTTATCATGTTTAAAAGACACCACTGGAGTCAATGAACTAACATTTTCTCTCCAGCCATGTCGGAAACACAATGGCAACCTTCGTAATGCAATCCCTGGGCTGCGAAGTCGCTGCCTTGAACACCGTCCATTTTAGTACGTTGCAACCCGGACTTGATAACCCCAGCCCTGACTCACATGCAATTGCAGGTAACCACACAGGCTACCGCCAATTCAAGGGAACTCGTGCCACCGCGCAGGAAATTTCAGACCTCTACCAAGGCCTGTGTCAGAGTAACCTCACAGACTTTGATGTCATGCTATCGGGCTACGCCCCAAGTGCAGCAGCCGTGGAATCAGTAGGCACCATCGGCATTGATCTGCAAGATAAAGCAGAGAAGAAGCCTGGGTCATTTTTCTGGGGTAAGCAACACCCCCGCTATTCCTCCAAAGTACAGACACTAATATAATATCAGTCCTGGACCCAGTCATGGGCGACCAAGGCCGACTATATGTCAACGACGACGTCGTCCCCGCATACAAGAAAATCATCCCCTTTGCGGATCTTATTTTACCTAACCAGTTCGAAGCGGAGTAAGTCGACCAAACTTTAACTTCAGCTTCATACCCAGACATGGCGACTAATATAAAATTATACAGAACCCTCTCAGGAATCAAAATAACCTCCCTAGAAACCCTCGCTGCAGCAGTGACAGCCATCCACAAGATTTACTCAGTGCCGCACGTAATAATCACCTCAGTGCAACTCTTCAAGCTCTCCCATTCAGGCTCAACCCCACCCCCACCAGAGAACTTCCTAACAGTAATTGGTTCAACCACGCGCTCCGACGGATCACCGCGACTATTCCGCGTCGACATCCCAGCGCTGGACTGCTTCTTCAGCGGAACGGGCGATATGTTCGCCGCGCTGACTGTCGCACGTCTAAGCGAAGCCGTTTCCGCAGTTGATGGTCTGCGCACGACCAAATCCTGGCTTTCGCCCGATGATGTCGCGGCTACGGATCTACCACTGGCTAGCGCCACTGTCAAAGTTCTGTCCAGTATGCATCATATTCTGGAGCGGACGCTGGAGAGTCGGGATGCAGAGCTGGCGGTTGCTGTGCCTGCGTTGGAGGGAGAGGCTTCGGCGGAGGAATTGCAGAAGAGAGATTATTTGCGCAGAACTAAGGCTGCGGAGGTTAGGCTTGTGAGGAATACGCGGGTTTTGCGGGATCCGAAGATTTTGTTTGAGGTGCAGGATTGGAAGAAGGAGGATCTTCCTAAGGATTTGCGGTAGGGTTTGGGGTAGGGTTTATATCTTTTGCATGAGGCATGGTTAGATGATAGAAAGGTTTCGGGAGGGCATTAGATGAAGCCGGGTCGGTGGCCATCTCTATATCAAAAACCGGTTCGGTCTGCACATAGATTTGATTATTGTACCGAGCATGGAATCTCTTTTCCAAATTTTTTTTTTCTTTCATTCAGTCACACATAATCTCGAATGCATGTAATCATAACTAGGCTTATTTTAAACCCAGAACTCATCTAATTTTCGTCTGTCCTCCCAACTTTATACCGAGGTATGGCCTTAAATGCCAGTGCTACCGAATCCACCGGCACCACGGACACTCTCCTCCAGCTCCTCGACAACGCTCACTTCAGGGGTGTAGATCTAGGACAAGTCAGTCACATCCACATAACAAACAGTATTGATAGCTGGAACTCACCCGCTCCAGAACCAGCTGGGCAACACGATCACCCGCCTTGATCGGGAAGTCGACGTCAGAGTGGTTGAACAGAAGCACCTTGACCTCACCGCGGTAGTCAGCATCAATGACACCAGCACCGGTGTCAATGAAGTGCTTAGCAGCAAGGCCGCTACGGGGAGCAATGCGGCCGTCTATATTCCTCATTAGTATTGCATTCACTCTTAACCCAGCTCAGCCTCAACAAGCAGAGAGCTTCGCTAAAGTTCTCAATTGATCAATCCCAATCACAGGTATAGTCACGTACAAGTTCCCTCGGGTACAGCAATAGCAATACCGGTGTCAACAGCGCTCTTGCCCTTAGCGGGGATGACAGTCTCCTTCGCAGCGTAGATATCGTACCCAGCAGCAAAAGCCGATCCGCGAGTCGGAGCCTGGGCAGACTCAACAAGCTTCTTAACAAGCAGCGGGGGCAGCGGCTGCTGGATCGAGGTAACGGGGGCGGAAGTCATTGTGTCAGGCTTTGATCGTTTCGGCAGCGGGGAGGCAGGCAGGGAAGGCGGATTGTGCGCGGGGAGGGATTTCTCTTGGGGTGGCGGGGTCGTCTCTTTGGTCATGATAAAACACAGAAATGGTTGGAAGGATCGAAGATCGAGAATCGAAAGTGGATAGAGGGTCAGAAATAATAGGGTCCCACAGTAGAGTGAATTGGCTAACGCAAGTTAAAAAGTCCCCCTAGCTTTACAAAAATTGCGGTGAGCTCCACGCTCGACTGCGCGTTTCACCGCTGGGACGCGTCGAGTGTTTGTTCTGTTTGTTCTGTCCTCCCCGCTCGAGGGAGAGCGGTGACGCCGAGGAGTTGCTGGGGCCGAGGTCCCCCGGTCACGCCGAGGAGGTGGTATTGGGGACATTTATTGCATTCCTTGTACATATTAATTTGAAACCGTCGTCACTTTACAAAATACATACGCCTTTTTAAACTGTCTTTTCCTTAATCACATCGTCATCATGGCGGGAGAAGTGCGCCAGCCTATAGATATCCCCTCGTTGGAGAAGTACATTGATCAGAATGTGCCCGAGGTCAAGACTCCACTTGATGTGAAGCAGGCAAGTCTGGCCCTGTCAATTAACAAATCAGCAATCTCAAACAGACCAACTAATATCCAGTCACTGTAGTTCGGCTTCGGTCAATCAAACCCTACCTACCTTCTTACTGCCGCTGATGGCAAACAGGTCGTTCTGCGCAAGAAGCCCCCTGGCAAGCTACTTTCGAAGACAGCTCATAAAGTCGAGCGCGAGTACAAGATTATACGGGCATTGGGGGATACCGATGTACCAGTTCCCAAGGCATACTGTCTCTGCGAGGATGACAGCGTGATTGGAACAGCATTCTACATCATGGAGTTCCTAGACGGGCGGCATTTCACCGATCCAGCGATGCCAGGCGTGAGCGGAGAGGAGAGGAAAGCACTGTACGTCACGCGACTGAGGCTCCAACACCCCCCAGCCGGTGACTCCACATTACTAACGAGCTCCCCCAGCTGGAAGAATGCAGTACAAACGCTCGCAAAGTTCCACAGCGTAGACCCCCAAAAGCGTCGGACTCGAAACATTCGGCAAACCGACAGGCTTCTTCGACCGCCAAATCGCCACTTTCAAGACAATCTCCAAAGCCCAAGCCGCCGTCGTCGACGCCGACACCAAAGAACCCGTCGGCGAACTCCCCTACTTCGACGACATGGTCACATTCTTCTCACACAAGAACACGCAACCACTGGACCGGGGCACACTCGTGCACGGGGACTACAAAATCGACAACATGATCTTCCACAAGACTGAGCCGCGCGTGATTGGAATCCTAGATTGGGAAATGGCGACCGTAGGACACCCGCTCTCGGACTTTTGCAATCTCACGAGCCCGTACATAATGGACGGTGGGGACAGCCAAGTGTCGCAGTTCGCGCCGGGGGTCGTTCCTGGGCTGCCGCGGCGCGAGGAGTGCATTGGTTGGTACGCCGAGACCTCTGGGTACGAGACGAGCTCCGACGTGGCGTGGGGAGATGCGTTCTTTGCGTTCCGGGGCTCCGTGATCATGCAGGGCATTGCGGCCCGGTTCGCTGGGAGGCAGGCTAGTAGTGCTCGGGCTAGTGATTATGCAAAGAGGGCGAAGCCGTTTGCTAAGGGGGCTTGGGAGAGGGTTAGGGCTGTTAAGAGGGCTGGTGAGGGGAAGTTGTAGCCTATTACACTCTGTAGAAGGTTTACCTATGTAGGTAATTAATTGACTTTCGTGGATTGTTAGCAGTACTTCCGGGGAGATTTTCAGGGTTCCAGGCTTGTTACATTGTATATAATAAGAATCTAGGCCTGGACTTTTTCACTTGTATTCTAGCGCCCGTCTATATGTAGATGGATGCATGTATAATGTAGCTTGACATGGCCCGAGCTAAATCTAAATCGGGCTCTTCAGGTTAGTCTGTAGGGCTAGGCCAGAACCAACTCTCCACTATGAAACAAACCCCACTTCTATGGTTATGTAGCCTAGAACAGCTAGATTGAAGTACTTTTGGCGCCTGACGTGTAGGTGTAAGCACTTATCCCGATATAGACAAACGTTCGAGAATGTATGGTATAATATCCTGCGAGCATATCACGTTTTATGTACGCCATTTTATCCGATCACTATTAGGCGGAAGTGAGCATTTAGGGATATATAAGGAGGCAATGAGTTATGTTTAAAAATATAAAAATATAAAAATATAAGCATATAAGAATTATAAAGAGCACATAGATAGGATATGGAGAGTAGGATAGATGATTGGATTCATGGCAGATATGAGTGGCAATGGTGATAAAGTGAAAATAACGGAAAGGTGGAAAGGTGGAAAGGTGGAATACCGCATTGTGTAATGTCCGTTGAGCCCGGCAGACAGTAGAAAAGCAGTCAGTGGATTATGATTGGCTGTAAAAGAGGGGAAAAGGGTGAGGCTTTTTTTCGACCTGCGGCTCTACGCGTAAGTGAGGCTGAGGGGGGGGGGGGGTTGAAGAACCCACTTGTTTTTTGCTCTTTCCAAGAATATAGATTTCAATAGCAAGTTTTGGATAGGGTTAATTATTCAGATAGGCAGTTTCAAATTAACTAATTTCATTCTCCATTATCCACTATCCACTAGTGTGAGGGGATTGAGGGGGATGCGGCTGGGGATAAGGGAACAGGAATTAGGGGTTTCGGATTGTGGCCGAATGGGTTGAACAGCACATCTATGCAGGTAGTATAGGGTAGTATAGCGTAGTATTATAGTTATTATAGGGTATTATTTATATTATGTATACAATGTAATAGAATAATAGAACTATAGTATACTTTTGTACTAGAGGCCTCTTAACGAGGCTCTGAAACAACGTGGGCCGGACAATCAATCTCCTTACCGCAGACAGCGCGTTGACAACCAAACCGGGAAAGCCTGAAGATCCCTCGGGTTGACGGCTCGAGGCTCGCTGTTAGTGTGCCAGCGCAGACTTTTGTGTCTGACGTTGCAAAGGAGGCGAAAAAAAGGACCAAAAGGCGGGACAAAAAGAGGGAAATGGGAGAAAAGTGAACAGACCGTGTGGGCCCTTTCTTCGTGCAGGTTCCCTAGCCGGGTATAACACTGACTGGGGGAGTGGAGAGAGAGAGAGGGGAAACGACTCACAGAGAGTTGCACCCCGGTTGTTGTCTCCGAGTTTAATGGTGGAGCCTGAATAACAGAGAGTAGCGGTGGAGACATTTTTTTCCCTTTTTTTCTTTTTTTCTTTCCTGGGATTTGTCCCTGCCGTTTATGTGCAACCAAGTTCAAATGCTCCGAGTAGAGGGGGGAAATAAGGTAAGTCAGGGGGGATGGTCAGCAGAGAAGTTGAAAAGTGAAGGGAGTATAGTTGAAATAACAAAAAATAGAACGCCAAATAAATAAATATAAAAATAAAAAAATGCAAAAACAAAAATACAATTAAAATTATAAAACCCCCGAACAATAATAGAACGTTACTCGTTACCTAGGTACAAGTCACGGTAAACTATGTAATCTATTATGTGGAGCCCCCCGAGTTAAGAGAGCCGCATGTCTTTCTTCTCTCCCACACCCACCCCCCTCGAATATTCCTTTTGAACGTTTATTCTCCTTTTCTCTGTGTTATTCTCTTCTTTCTTTCTTTCTTCCTTTTTCTCTCTTGCATCTGATACTGGCATTATACTGGTAGATATTGCTGGGCCCTAACTTGCACGTGTAGAACGTGATATTATCTCACCCTTAGATACCTTTTTTTTTTTTTTTTCCCGGAGCCTGCAACTTCTCCTTTAGTTTTCCTTTCTTTTCTATCCTTGAAACAAGACTGTACAGTTTTCCTACCTGCACACTTCCGGGTGATATCATTCATCTGCAGATGGCGCAGTGACAATCGGAGCTTTTGAGCCTCATCCCGGGACCCATTCACTACCCGCGTCCACCTTTCCGCTTGGGTAAGTGCACTTTCTGCAGACTTCGAAACTGAGTAGTCTAGAGCCTTGTGTTTCAAATTTTTTTTTTTCTCTCTTTTTCTTTCTTTTACTTTGCTTTCTTCTTTCCTTGATCTTTCCTTCTTGTGCTCTCGGACCTGTTTGGTTTTCATTTTATTCTCTCCGGGTCATCCTGACCTGACAACCCCTCATCTCCCCGTCTCGACGCTTTGCAGACGGGCAGTCGCATTGTGTCGGAATCGCTTGCTTTTCTACTTTTCTATTCTTTCCACCTAGATTGTTGTCTTTTTTTTTTTATTCGTCCGATCATCGGAAAAGTCACATTTACAATAACCCCATCTCTAACCATATCTTACAGGCTACTATCATCGGTTCTGATGTGTGATTGTCAATTCAATCTGTCAGAACAACAAGTATAAGGCGAGGTGCCCGATGCACCTGCTAATTTATTCATCCCGTCCGCTATGTATGACTCGGATGACGGTTTTAATAAGTCGCCTCCTATGGAGGCGATCAAACCCAACTATGGAGAGAACGAAACACCACCACCGTTTGTTTCGACTAGCGAAAAAGATGATGCGGGTTCCCGTAAGCCCAACCAGCCGAAACCTCAGAACTCAACCCGTGAGGGCGACCGAGTACTGATGGGGTTTCTAGCTCCGAACCACCCAGAGATTGCCGCAACGGCAAGGATTGCTCCATTGGAACCCTTACCTGGGAATCTCAAAAACTATAAGCAACCGCCTGACTTCGATCCCAGAGGGAGGTCAAATCCATTTTTAAGGGACGATCCTCCACGAAAGGCATCATTGGGACTCTTAACCTCAGGCTCAGGCTCATGCTCGGCTTCACATAAAGACACCGAGAACAAAGCCCCCCAGAAGAGATTGTTCCCAGCCCCATTACAGCCTAAAGAGCCAGATGTTGAGATTAAAAATGAGATTCAAAGAGAGCGAGTACCATCAATCAGTGGCCTGAGCCAACGATCTCCACAAGGGTTGCCATATCTCAAAACGTCTTCGGAAATCAAGTCTGAATTTCCCCTCCCATTACTAAAGTTGAGCCAATCAGCTTCTGGATCATCTTTCACAAAATCTCCAGATAGCAGCAATAAACAAACGCTGCCGTCTATTCACAAAGCTATCAGCGAATTATCAGACTTCGGCCCACCAGTCAACATGATCCCATCTCCCTACCCCTTTTCCTCCTGTTCCGGATCAACTACATCGGGGAATGATTCTCCATTCGACCGCGCTTTTCCGGGAAAATTTTCCATCCCTGCGAGTCCCTTCTCTCACTTTTCGCCGGTGAGCCTCAAGGACTCATCTACCAACCCTTCTCCGGCCTCGCACTCAACCTTCTGGCGCGGGACACCCCAGTCTGAGATGCTGTCCGTCCAGACCCCGTATGAGGCCTCCCCTATGACCGCAAAAAGCCCAGCGAATAGTTATCCTACGCCCACGGAACAGGTTGGCGTTGGTATGGGTGATCAACATCCGCTCGCTGCATCCACTCCCCAGCCCAATGGGGGCCCCGTGGGCAGTTACAAGTGTACACATCCTGGATGCACTGCTGCACCCTTCCAAACTCAGTATCTCCTCAAGTAAGACCAAAAAGACGACTCGAGTGAAAACCCCACCTAACGAAATAGTAGCTCTCACGCAAACGTGCACTCACAAGATCGCCCACACTTCTGCCCAGTAGAGGGCTGTCCACGCGCACTAGGCGGGAAAGGGTTCAAGCGTAAGAATGAAATGATGCGCCATGGACTCGTACACAACTCCCCAGGTTACGTCTGTCCGTTCTGTCCAGACCAGCAACACAAATACCCGCGACCCGACAATCTTCAACGGTTCGTGCTACATCCGAGCTTCATTTAATCTGGCATCAGCTGAAATTATACACTCACACAGACATGTTCGTGTACATCACGTCGACAAAAACAAAGACGACCCCATTCTCCGACAGGTTCTCGCGCAAAGGCCGCTTGGTAGTGCCCGCGGGAGAAAACGAAGGATGAACAATACATGAAACATTTTAGCATCTCGTTTTATTTTATTTTTTCATCCTTATCTCTGTTTACACCTTTGCATTTCTAACTTTCTTTCTTGCCCATGTTCTTTTTATCCCACGCGTTCCGACCGGCGTGTACCCTCTTCACCCCCCCCCCCCCCCCCCCACCCTCTCTTCCACATTCAAACCTGTGTTTCCCGGGTGTTCCAGATTTCCAGATTAGCGCCTCAGTACGACCATGCTAATCCCCCTTCGAGGCAACTTCGCAACTTTACGCGTGACGAATCTCTCAGCTGTGATACCTTTCTGCTGTTTTTTATTTTGTTACCCTTGGGTACTTTTTGTTTTGGTGCTTCTGCAAGATACCACCTGTCCATTGTTAGAAATTCATGATGCTACATGGGCCATTCGTTTAATAGGAGTGTTGTGAGTCTTTACTATTTTACCTTTTCTCCATGTTGTCTGATCAATTCGATTGGGGTACTACAACCCCTCATGATATTGAAAATTTACTCGGAACATGTCAAAAAGCACACTCGGATAGAAGTCTTTTTTCCTTGATGTGCCATAACTTGAAGTAGTCTCGTCGGCTTCGCTTTAAATGTGCGTATGATGAATCCGATCCTATACTTCGAGAATCAACCTTTTGGCCCTTCTATCAGCTGGTGGAAATTCAAATCATGTCCAGATGCCGGACTATAATTCCTTCCCTCGGTTCCACGCCCTTTTCTACCAATTTCATGGCCTCCCTACGTAGATTAAAGTTTCCTAGCTTCCGAGTGGTGCATTCTTAGGGTGTCAGGATCTTTCTTCCGTTTACCACTTGCGGCTCAATTGAGTCAGCCTCCCTCCGCCAGTGTACTAGGTAATAGTAAATACAACACATATTATGTGATTTAGTAGCTTGCTAGTCGCTGTACACTCGCCGATTGTATGTGTAAAAAGACCGATTGATATCGGTCCCATTCCTAGAACTTGGAAGGTGAGAAGTCGCGACAGCGAACTTGTGGTAAAAGAAGCACTAGTAATTAAACCCGAAGATACGCGCACAGTGGTTGCAGGTTCTCACCAATGAAACGATAATCATCGAATTGTCGAGTATGAGAGCTCAATTATCCCTGCTATCTCGTAGCCAAGCGGAGAGAAGCCTGAACCTATTGTCCTAGGACCCTCACGGCCTAGAATCCTAATTTTGCCCATAATATCCTAGCAGCGTTGCTCTAGACAGGCCCAATTATGCACTGATTGCTGATTCAACCATTTACATTGGTGATATAGAGCTTGTGCGCCTGATCCTGCGGGGCTACCACGAAAGTTCCGGCCCGATATCTTCTCGTGGAAACGCGTGTTCACAGCCATCTTAATCGGGATGTTTCTGTGTCACCTATAACGCTTTTATTACGGGCGTATAATGGACAGTAATAAGACATGTGGTTTAGTTAAGACACTGTGTAATGCAGTAGGGTCCGTCGGCTCCGGACAGGGGTACCTACGTATGTTTTCAAGAAGAGGGCGGTTAACAGGCAGGATTAAGAGTTTGAAATTCCCCTGCCACTCACCGGCTCGTTCCTGGTACTGCCTCTTTTGTTGACTCTATCCCCCTATTTTATCATCGATCTTTATCCTATTCGTATATTTGACCAAGGTCACATATAGTTCGCCACTATGAAGCTATCGCTATTCAGGAAGACGAAATCTGGTGTTCCAGAACACATTCTGTAAGATTGTATGACAGCGAAATAATTTACCGGGCTAATTATGCTGAGGTACCCTACAGAAGGTGCAATTGGGATGAAGGTGCTATCTGATCCTTCGAATGCTGACCTGGAGTGAGTTCATCTTCTACTATAAGGAATCTCCAAAGTGGATAACCGAAGAATTCAAATAAGATACACGAACTAACATACATGAACTAGCATTGTTTTCGTCCATGGACTCACCGGCAACCGAGAGAAAACATGGACTCACGAAGACGGAACCTTATGGCCCCGAGACCTTCTTTCCAAGGACTTGCCCACGGCACGCATTATGACCTTCGGCTATGACGTCGACATATTCAGCTTTACCTCAATCACATTCTCAGACCGACTTTACGACCATAGCCAATCCCTAGCCTTCGCAATCGTCAGCCAACGAATCAACTGCTCGAGCAGACCCATGGTATTCATCGCACACAGTCTAGGCGGCTTGATCTGCCAACGAGCCTTGATCCTCAGCAACTCCATAGACGGACTATGGGGGATATCCTCAAGCGCCATCGGGATAATCTTCATGGGCACACCGCAATATGGATCTTCGCTCGCCTCCTACAGAGAAAAGCTCGCCAAAGGGATGAATATAGTCCACACTGCAAACAGGGATATGGTTGGGACCTTTCATCTGGGCTCAAACAATGTGCAACTAGCTGGGAATGAGTTCCAGTCCATGCTTCGTCGTGGAGACCTGTCACTCAAGGTCTTTTGTTTCTACGAAGCGAAGAATATGAACGATATAGTGGGGAAAATTGTTGAAGAATACTCGGCTGTTCTGCAGGGCTATGACAACTGCAGCATCAATGCTGATCATTACAACATGACGAAGTTCAGTGGTCATGCAGATGCTGGTTATGGACTTGTTCGGTCGATCATTACGGGGTGGCTCCATGAGTCTCGTAGTGGTAATGATGCTACAAACAACACTACTATGTCTGCTTCTGTTTCTGGAAATCCGCCTTGGTTGGGGTCTTGGACTCCAGGGAACTTTTACTTTAATGGGAGTGCGAATTCGCAGAGTGGCGAAGGACGTTACGCACATGGCGAGACCTTTGCCTTCGACTGATGGGATATCTGCACGAAATATGGATGTGTCCTTTTTCAATTCCTTGGCTTCAAAATTTGTTTTGCAAGCCTTATATCTCTCAAAGTCAGTGACTACAGACAGAGTTTATGATACAATGCCTTTTGTTCCTGTACGTTTCACATAGAGTTAAGAGTTAAACTTTGACCAACCTTGCAGCACGTGCGAAGCTGAAACCTTGGGTTTCCCAAAGTTTCAAATATCTGACAGGTGATATTTCTTTGACTTGAATAACACGTCCTTGGAATACCAACTGTATCATTCATTTCCCTGGTTAAATAGTATAACAACTGGTAGCATCTCTTAGTCGACCAGCAAGCTTGCGGCTGCTCAAGGTATCGATTAGTGTTACGGAATAAGCCAGGTGGTGGTAAAGATGATCATATTGCTATGGTATAGCTACGTAAGATAACTACCCTACTTAATAATAGCCTTAGTCATACCCAGGCCCTCACAACTGCCCCCGTCAAGAGCCTGCTGCCGCCCTCGGTAGCACGGGGAGAGAGGCTAGATCAGAAATCCGCAACGAGCTACTTATATTGCTAGGGGAGCGGAGTCTATGGCGGGGGCCGCATTGACGTAGCGATTGCTTCAACTTCTGTCCTAATTGTATCGTCCTTTATTGTCTTAATATATCGATCAACGAGTAGAAGGCCCTTAGTAAAAGCTATAGTATCCTAGATAGCATTAAGAGAAGCACCGAGCCCTTTACGTATAGCGCGTATAATACGTAGGTCTCCTTTAACGAAACGGGCACGAAAGTCAATCAAACCGGCGTGGTTAAGGGAGGTAATACGAGCGAGGCTAGTACTAGCGCCGACGTATTACTATAACGCCTCTATAGCTAGTAATAGAGATACTATAGGGCCGATAAGGTCGGGGGCTCTATCGATTTAGCTAATATAGAAGCGAAGGTCTATATTTTATAGTAGCCTAGAATAGGGTTTTGCAATTACTACTCGACCCTAGGAAGGGGTATAAGTATTAGAAGTGATATTATACTAGCGCTCTCTTTCGCGACGGGCGCGTTATCGTCGACAAGCGGCGATATTACCGAAAGAATTAAGGATATTATATATAACCGCCTATAGGATAAGTTAGAGCTTAGTTACGTCTTACGTAGGGGTATCTTAGTTCGGGAATAGCTTTCTATATATAAAAGTATCTCTATCGAAGGCCGAATTTAGGATAGTTTACTAGGTTAGTTTATACGGTTTATCTTTAGGGAAAGACGCGGAGGGGAAATCGTTAGTTATATTATAGACGCGCTCGTAGAAACCTTCGAGATCCTATAGGCGGGTATAGGCGAGATCCTCTTTCGCTTTTATTTAGTAGACTAATACGTACGTTATAAGGTTATCGTTTATAATAAAATAGTAAGAGACCTTATTCTAGCTATAGCTTATCGTAGCTATATAGATTAGGTCAACTAGGCTATTCGTACGGTCGGGTATCGGGTAAGTAATAGAGTTAAAGGTACGTAGCGTTAGTTAGGTTAAGGAATCCTTTATACTTACTTAGACTACCTCTAGCGGAGCTAAGGTAGTACTAATATAGAACTTAGAGATACTTAAGCGATACTTCCTACCGATAAGGTAGGACGCGGGGTTCTAGCTTCTATAAAGGATATAGAAAGCTTTATAGATAGGGAACTAGGGTAGACCGTTAGCCTAAATAATTATTAGGGGGTCTAAGGGAATACGCGAAGTCCGAATATCTCTATATTAGTTAAAGTCTATTTAGAACCGCAAGCTTCGTTAGTACGGTATTATAGTATAAAGATAATAGAAAATTCCTTAGTCCATTAGTCGGACGTAAGATAAGGTAAGACAGGCTTCTTATTTTATATTATCCTAGGAATTATAAATAAAAAAGTAAAAGACTATCTATATCGAAACTATTCCTATATCGATTTTCCCGCCGGACGATAGGCCCGGTCTCTTTCTATTTCGCTAACCGTTAATCGGGTAAGATATCTTCGCTTTATCCTAGCGTAAGGCGTATAGGGTAGATTCGTCGTAAAAATAATAGATTACGAGCGTAAAGGATCGTTCGGTATAGATTACGAATTAGGTTATATTTATCTTAGGTAGTCCGGGTAGCTTAGGTTTCGGGTTAGTAGTAGTCTAGCTACTATTAGGTAGGCTAAGTACTATAGTAAGTAGACCTAGGTTATTATCGTCGGCTATATCGTCTATAAGCGAACCGGTATAGTCTTCGACTACTAGTAAGGAGTTATTACCCGTATCGGTCGTCGCGTCTCCGTTAGAATCTATAGTAAGAATACTATAGGCTCGTCCGCGTCCTCGCGTCTAACGTACGCGACCTCGATAGGATCCCCTTATAGAACTTAGGGGAGTTTAAGCTAAGATTAGCTTTTACGGTATTTTAGGAGGTATAGAAGGCTAGTTATTAGGCTAGTTAGCTATATTAAGGGTAGATTTTAATAAAAAAGTAATAAAAAGCTAGTAGTTCTAATAGAGAACTAAGAGATAAGTTAGGGAAATAGGGTAGTAAAAAAAGAGTAGAAGATAATATAAAAGCAAATATATAAGGTATAGGTATCGAGCAAAGGGTATATAATATATAAATATTAATATAAATAAGCCTATATTAATTATAAGATTAATTAGTAGAATCCTATATATAACGTAGGATATCTTAGAGATACTCTAAGATCTTTTCTTCTACTCCGATAAGGTTATCTTTATCTAGCTATTCTAGGTACTTATTTCCGAGCCCGGACTATCGGACTAGGTATTACTTTCGGCGGTCTTTTCTATAGCCGCGGTATCGTATATCGAGAACGGCGTCTACGTCGGTATAGTCTATATCTTTAAAGAAGTATAGGTTAAATATAGAGGGAGGCTTAACTACTATTATATCGCCCTCCTAAAGCGCACGCTCTAGGTATTATAAGGAGATAACTAGATAGGCTCCGGCGAGCTCTAGCGGTAGCTATAGGCGATATATAAGGCGTCCTACGCGTTCGAGGACGCGATATTTAACGTAGCGCTATATAAGCTTCTTCGTAACCTAGCGGGAGGGGAGTATATAACTAGGTTCTACTCCTTATATAAGGCGTAAATAGATTAGGTCGCCTTTCTAAAAGAAAATTAGTTTATAGTATTTATCGTATTACTATTTTATAACTATAGTAGCGTACTTTATATATTCGTCGGCGTCTTACTAGGTAGCTTAAGGAGATCTAACGAAGGCCTAACGAAGGAGGTTCTATAGTATATATAGGTCTATACCGAATATAAGTTTATATAGCGAGTTACCGGTAGAGGTATTAGTCGAAGTATTAAGTAAAGCTTATATCGGAGTAAGTCCTTCGTCCTAGTTAACGTCCTAATAGAGGTTTTACTAGTAGCGGAGCTAGATCTCGCCTATTTAATTCGAGCGTTCCGACTAGCCGTCTACTTATAAGTTATATATAGCCGTATAGAGAAGCTTAGTACGTAGGGCTATAAAAAGGCCCTTCTAGAACCCTTAGACGAAGCGTTTATTGTAGTTAGAGATCTATACGATAGGGATACCCTAGTCGCCTTTCTAAAGGTTATAGAGGATTATAGTCGCCTATTTATATCCGGTCTAGGTCTTTTTCCTAGGTATAGAACCGATACGCTTTATTAACTTATAAGTATAGATTACTACCGCGTCGAAACCCTTCTTCGTATATAGTAAGCCGGTAACGAAGTCGATTATTAAAGTATAGAACGGGATTAGCGGCGTAAGGATTAGTTAGAGTAAACTATATAGCTTATAACGATATATAGCGTTCTTCTTATACTTATCGTATTAGTCGATATACGCTCGGAGTTTCTTTACTCCCTTATATATAATAAAGCCTCGTATCTTCTACTAGGCGCGATAGAAGCCGAGGTAGCCTTCGCTATATACTATTTCGAAGATCTCGTCCTTAATTATATTAGATATATATAGCTAATAGTCGCCGTTAGCCTATATCGAATATAGTAAACTATCGTTAGTTTTATAAGGCAAACGTGGTTTAACTAGGTCGGGGTCCTATACTACTCGCTAGAGCTTATTAAGTACGAAGCTCTATTTAGGATCCTCTTAGTAAGCTACTCGTATACGCTTCTTAAAGTCGTCGGAGAGTTATACGTAGGATATAAGGAAAGCGTAGGCTTTATCGGGAACGTCCTATATAGGTTCCGTATCGGGTAGGACTAGGTTAGCTATAACGCTAATAGATCTATCTAGGTTAGATATAGAGTCGGCGTATAGCGCTTCTAGGTCGTTATCGTCGCGAGGTTATATTTTATTAATAGCCGATAGGCGAGAAAGAGTATTAGCGATATAATTTAACTTACCCGCCTTATAGTAGACGAGTAGACGGAACTACTATAGGTATTATAAAGCGCGTACTAAACGTAGGTTTATTCGGTCTAGTAATATAGATAATAGTAACGTAGCGAGGTTAATTATTACGATATAGTCGGTATATATAACGGGTATTAAGTCCTTAGGCGCTACTTTAATTATATAACGGATTTTCCGGACGACCTATACTATATAGGAGACCTCTAACTCGGTAGCCTAGTAATATTTCTCCGTAGGGGTTAATAGGCGGCTTAGAAATATAATAAGCTTAACGACCGTTAATAAAGGAGTAGCCTTTAAGTTTATATAAACGTAGTTATACTTAATATAAAAGACTATTACGCCGTAACCCCTTTCTTATAATATATTAATATCGAAGTATAGGCGGCGGGTACGATCCTAGTACGCTAGCTATTAGGGGTCTTAAAAGATTGCCTATATAGCGTCGAATAACGCTAATTCGCGGCCTATCGGACGTACGTACTATATATAAGCTAACTAGTCCCGACGTAGGCGGCCTTTAACTAGACTTCCGTATAAGAGCTCTATCTTACGGATTTATAATAGCTCCGACTTATTAGTATAGAGCGGGACGTATTAACGTAATACGCCGGTTATACCTAGGTATATCTCTAGCTAACGTAATATATAGGGGAATTATAGTCTAGCGATAGCCTTAATTTTGTCCTTAGGTATAGTTATACCTAGGGTATCTATATACTAGCCGAGGAGAGAGATTTTAGGGAACGTAACGTATACTTTCTTAGGTTCTAGAGATACTAAGTGCTTCTTAAGGACGTTTAAGATAAGAGTTAGGTACTTAATATAAAGCTTAAAAGTATTAGATACGACGATAATATCGTTAAGGTAAGTACGATAGAACTCGATAAACTCTTTTAATAGTAGGTCTATCTAGCGTTAGATATAGGGGACGTTATTATAAAAACCTATAATCGCGACGTAAAACATTTCCTAGCCTCGATACGTAACGACGTATATACGGCTACGATAGTTACGTCTAACGCGCTACTAATAGAAAAACTTAGCTATATCTAATACTAAGATATACCGCTTACCCTAGGTAAGAATAATAATATCGTCTATTATAGGAATTAGGTAAATATTACGCTAGACGACTTTATTTAGCGGGCGAAGGTCTACGATAATACGGCCCTTACGTTCGGGTTCGCGTCCTAGTTATTATACCGTCCGTTAAACAACGAAAATAGGGAAGCTTATAGTAGAATACTTAGTAGTATAGCTTATTTTTCCTTAGTTATATAACGGCTAGAAAGTCTTATCGATAACCGTACGATCCTTTAGGCCGAATAGATAGATTTTAGATTTTAGGAGTTTAGACTCCTATCCGGGTACTAGGGGGATAGTTATCTATCTATCCTCGGGGATATCGACGACTATAGGCTTATCGCCCTAGACGTCGTATAATAGTAGTAGATTCGTTAGTTACTAGACTTAGGATAGCTATAGGCCGGCCTAGAGGGTAATACCGTTCGTAAGCTATATACCGTTATCCTATATATAATATAAGCCTTTATTAGGCGGATTAGTATTAGGATTTATATTTACGTAAATAAGGGAACGGCCGAGTTCCGCGGCTTCTAGTTTAACTATATAAGCTATAGGTATATTAGCCTTATAGAGGGTTCTAATATAGTCTCGTCGGCGAATAGCGATCGAGTCGCCGGTATCGTTTATAGCTTATACCTAGGCAAAGTTCGCGTTAATAAGATATAAGTAGAAAGAGACTTAGGAATATCGTCCCTTAAATATATAGTCGCGGTTATTAGGGAGCGCCGTCTAAACCTATATAGGGATATATATAATAAAGCGTAGCGAAATAACAACGTATTTAGCTATATAAACCGTACGCTAGATAGCGTAGTAGGGTTTAGTATATATAGAAATCGGGATCTCTAAGCCTATATATAATAGGATCCTAATAGTCTTTATATCGAAGTCTAGACGGAAACCTTTATAGCCGATTACGTCTATTCCGATAAGGAGTTTCGCCTTTAGGTTTTCTACTAGATACGCCTTAATATAGATATATACTACGTTATCCGCTCCGTAAAAGAAGACGTCGAATAAAATAAATATAGATAATAAATATCGTAAGCCGATTCTAGTAACTAGTACCGGAGTATATTTCTAGAGCGGTAGGCCTAGTAACTTAGCGAGGTCTACGTCGATAATAGTTATAATATATCCGGTATCGAGGTATACGACTAATAGCTTACGCTAATTAGTAAGGCCGACGACTATTAATACGTAGCGCTATATCTTATATACTATACCCGGCTAGGCTACCTATATATAGTTAGACTTAATAATAGGTAACTCTATAGGTATAGCGTCCGGGTCACTACTCTTATATTAGGAAACGTAATACGTAACGGTTAAATCGTTAATTATAGCTGCGGTATACCTCGATATATAGTCCTTTAGATATATATATAACTTATTATTAGATAGGAATAATATCGAGTAGTATAAGTAGGTTACTATAGGGGTTATATCCTCTATTACCGAGTAATAGGGTTAGTCGTCCTTATTATCCTAAAAAGGAGACTCTTACTAATAAGCCTAGGGATCCTCTTTAAGGGGGTATTCTATATAGCTTATATAGTCGTCGTCTACGTAATACGTATCTACTTATAGGTCGTATATATAATAGCTGTTATAAAATACTAGATTTACTTAATTTACTTCTAGAGGGAAATTAGTAATATTAGCTTTATAAGGTATAGTTGGTTTAGTAGGTAGAGGGGCGACTTCCTATAGATCCGCCTAATATACGGCTATTAGGCGAGAGTCTATATATAGTTAGCGTACGGTATAACCCGTACTAGAGTAGCCTACTTAATTCTAGGGCTTATTAGAGAGTAAGAGTTAACCTACTTAGTTTATATAGGCTTAGTCGCGCGATAACTATTACTAGTATTACGAGCGCGGTCGGTATAATCCTTAGAAAGGGTAAGCTTGTTATTATAGTAGTACGTACGACGTACGCTAGCCCTATACTTACGGTATATTTAGCGGTAGTATATATATATTTCTTTAGGTTTATTATTACCGCTAAGTATTAGGATTCTATATAAGCTAGGGAGTATTAGTTCCTATATTACGGGTACGGAAAGGTAGTTAGTATATATTAGGACCGCTATAGCTATAAGTATAACGGGGAGCGCTATACTAGGGGTTATACTAGGGGTAGCGCTAACCTTAGTAGCGCGTAGGTTAGGGCTACGTCGGATATTATTATAGTCGGATACGTCTTAATATTTTATACCACTATCTATATCGTAAATCTAGATCTACTATAAACTACGAGATAATTATCGCTACTATCGGCTCTCGGACGTTACGTTAAAGTACTAGCTCTAGGCGAGTCTAGACTAGGCGGAGTATAGTTATCGTACCTATTATCTTAGCTACTTAGGCGTCCCGGAGTATATTCTACGCCTATTCGGTAACGCTACGTCCGGCGCGTATATCGCGCTAAGAATAGATAGATACTAGGTCTATAACTTTAACGATTGCTTCTATCGCTTAAGGCTTAAACCGTTTTTTAAGAGTAGCGTACTAACCGAGCTATAACGAACGAATACTTAAGTCCTATCTCTCTTTATCTAATAATTCTATACTATACTATTAGGTTACCGCTTTACGTAGGTATAACGGTAGATTCGCGCGGATAACTTCCTCGGACTTTAGTAGAACTAAAGCCTTAAGTTAGTTAAGAAAGGCGTAAACGTTTATATAGTATATTACTCCCCTAATTATACGGATATATATATCTAACGTAGGGTCTAGTATAAAATAGCTAACGTCGTCTATTTTCTAGTATCCGGTACTCTAATAGGTATCTTAGCCGTCTCGACCTACTAGCCCTCGGATTTCGTCGCGACGATTTATAATAACGTCGTTAACTATTACTCGAACTTCCTTAGCCTCGCGAGAATACGTATAGGTAATAGCTTCGTTAAGGAGATTACGTAGCTCTATTCTTAATATCGTAATCTATAACGCGCCTTACGCTATTAGCGGTAGGGGGTTTAATAGCCCTATATATAATAGGCCTACTATTAGGACCGGACTAAATTCTAGTAGGGTATACTTAGAGCTAGCGAGTAGCTACTTACTTAGGAGGTTAGTTAGGCCCTCGAAGCTAACCGGTATTAGTATTACTAGACTAGCTTAGGGTAGGCTCTAGGGTTATAGTAGGTCCCTCTAAATCTATTTCCTACTAGAAGAGAGAGTTTTAGGTTCTTCCTAAGGAGGTTTTCCCTATATCTAGGTCGGACGAGCTTCTAGAATTTACCGGACGTACTTTTAAAATTCCCTAATTAACCTTACGAGGTCCTTCTATAGTAGCTAGTTAGGTAGGAAAGGGTTCTCCTTTAGTAGCGGGGGAGTACTATAAGTATATATAATATAGAGGATATCGTTAGTAAGCTCTTTAGTTTAGAGGTCCTTATTTAGGTTCTCCTTATCGTTAAAGTACGTAAGTAGTTAGTATCTAAGAAGGATATAGTATTATAGCTACCTATTAATAAGCGGTATTAGACGTTACCTTAATACGATAACCGTATATTAGATAGAGATCGGTTTAGAAGCGTAAACCGTACGACTAAATAAGGCTTATAGAAAAATATTGACTTTACTAAACTAGTACTACTCCTTAGTATAGGGGTCCTATAGAAAACAGTAGTATCTAGTAGCTAGAGCTTACTCGTTGTCTTTCTTAAGTCGATTATAGGTTAAGGAAAGAACGAATTCCCTAGTCAGGTGATCGGACCCGCGATACCTCGTACGCAGCTAGAAATAACTACGTATAGGGTGATAGGTACGCGAGGAGTATAGTGGTATATAATCCTAAGTGCTTATCGGAGCGGTACTACGTTTAACGTATATAGCGTAAGGAAGGACGAACGATAGAAACGGGATAAGATAATAAAGGTAATGATCGATCAGAACGCTTTCCCTTCTACCGCTAGTAACCTAGGGGCGTAAGAGACACCGGAGAATTCGATAATAGGGTGGTAAGCCCAACCAGAAGGGCCTCTGGCTTTAAAAGGACATGCTACCAGTGTGTTACGGAATAAGCCAGGTGGTGGTAAAGATGATCATATTGCTATGGTATAGCTACGTAAGATAACTACCCTGCTTAATAATAGCCTTAGTCATACCCAGGCCCTCACAATTAGTGTAGTATTTGGCTGACCGTTCGTGTAGCCATCATTGGGTTGGCACTTGCCTGGGCGTCGGTGCAATACACTGGGCTGGGGTTGGTCCCATGGTGCCCGGAACGATACTGATAACCTCCGCTGCATCATACCCATCACCCAGGTGAGGGTGTGTTGCCGGGGCTTGACTGTGATCTGTTTCACTGCGAAGGCGTTCGTCTGGTAGAATCGAGTTACGTTGTTCAAGTTGTATGGTTGGCATTGATACCGATCTGGAGATGATGAGGATGCCATAGGACTGGTAATTTACTCCGCAGATGGTAGCTCATATGTAGCAACTAGGTATAGAGGCCGGTTTGATAGGGCTCTGAGTCGGCAAAGCATGCCCCGTCGCATCAGTCTGGTTCTAGCTTAGAAAATCGATGGTTTGGACCATTCCCTGGCTCCATAGAATTATAGCCTCCCAGGAACTCGTTACCTGGATACCCTGGGTAGAAATGGCAACCGGGCAATTCCTGCATTCATTTATGTTTTTGACTCTACACCTGCTCTCCGTCACTGTACATAGCCTCAATTGGGTAGTAGTAGACTCCTATGATAATGAGCGGTTAGAAATTGCGCAATACTATTTTGATAGAAATCTATGAGTATCTTGGACTATTATTAGAATCCAGACCTATGGGGGATTCTTGTTTCATCTGGTCTATTTCTGCGTCAACGTCTTGGATACATAGAAGATCACGGGTAGTTGATTACACGGGCCTTTTTGCAATAAGTCCTATTATCAGACTCAGGATGATGTTAGTCTGGCCTAGGGCTTGTTTAGCGTTAAAATTAGAATCAAGCTCTTTAGTCGCTTCTTAGGGCAGTATATTACTCGGCAGTGCTTGAGTTTAATTCTAGATTTACATCTCTACATCATGGTGTATAGTTCTACCATTTCTCAAACAGTTGCAGCCATTTATCTTTGTATGATTCTATGTGTTGAATTTTGATAGAACCGAAATGTAAATCCTCGCTAAATAACAGAACCGTTCATTGTCTAAATTCGCCTTGCCTTTTTCCGCTTTGCCTATCAATGTTATACATAAACGAACCAACCAAAAATCACGAAATATAGGAAAGACAATAAAAGATGTCCAAGACACAACCGCTAGTACCATAATCGTCATCGTAGCAATCTGACCGACAGCTAAGCCTTTCCAGCCTCCCCTTTCCGATGAATCCTCCTCACATGGTCTTTCATATTGTCGACACGACTAAACACCTTCCCACAGCCCTCCCACTCACAAAAGACACCAGGATTGTGCTTCGCCTCATGGCGAGCACGGTCCTTCTTGCTGCTAAAGCCATTCGTCGCCGATTGGGGACATCCCTCATAGCGACAGAATAGGTGCTTTCGGTGACGGTTGAAGTGCTTCCTCAAATCACAGCCTCGGTGAAAGACAGCCTGCGAGGAACAGCCCGGGTGGGCGCAGCGCCAGTTACCGTCGCTTGTTGGGATGCCGTAGTTGCTTAGGTCACCGGAGTTGGAGCCGGAACCGGAGCCGGAGGCTGAGCCTGGTGCAGGTGGTGGAGAATCTGGGTCGGAGTGGGAGTGTGGTGGCGAGGAGGCGGTTGAGGTTGTAGCGGTGGATTGGTAGGGATAGGGTGTTGGAGCTGGGACTGACCGAGGAGCCGAGACGGATCGGGGGATTGAGAAGAAAGCTTCTGGGATAGTATCAGAGGAATGCGGTGGACAGGAGAGCCACTGCTCGTTCGCAGTGTTGAGTTGAGGGTTGAATGTTGGGTAGGGCTCTGGTTGCACTTCTATTGATGGCGGAAAGCGCATAGAACCTATGTTTGCGAAAGGTTGTGAATGGTAGAAGTCTTGGGCTGGTTCGCTCTCAATGCACCATTTGTCGATTTGCTGGGGAGTATAGCCCGACACGCCCGGGCCGCCCATAACGAGGGGTAGAGATCCTGGGGGATAATAGCCTTGAATGAAGGGCGATGTGGTCGGGCCGACGGGGGTCTCAAAGGAGCGCATATGAGGAGAGTTTGAGAGGATGTCTGCGTTAGACGCAGCGGACCATGCGTATTGAGAGCCAATTGTATCAGTGTCGGTCGATCCTCTTCTCCCAGTGGAATAGTGCCCCGGGGATAGGAAAGATCGAGGGTCTGGTTGGACCTCTATAAAGTCCATCTGTTGAAGAGCGGACATGTGAGTGTGAGAGCTGGATGGAGCGCTGGTGGGGATATCGGTCAGGACTCCCAGATGTTGAGGATCTAAGGACTGGGAGTAACCAGCGCTATCCGGCACAGTGCCGTAGGTACTTTTAGACTTCTGGCGACTAGGATACATGTTGGAGACGTTGGGGGTGTCCGAGATGTAGATGATATTGTGGAACGATAGTTCTGATGATGATGGAAAAGAGAACTCCCAGTCGATACACTCAAAGCTGCCTTTTGGGGGAAACTGCTTTGGCATAACAATAGGTGCTTAGTATAATTTTGCCGTTGATGTATGAACGAGTGTCCAAGCGCTTGAATCTTGTTGCCCGAGATGACCGAGAAGCCAATGTGTTATAGGGTTTTGGCAGATTTAGAGCTGAACTTGTCTTTCGGACTAAGACCTAACGGGCAGTGGAATATTTATGACCATCTCAAGTCGAGGAGGCAGTGCTGTAATCTTGAATATCTAGGCGTTCCGCAGAAGAAATCGAAACGTTGATAATACTGCCATGCTTGATATAGAATTGTTAATTATACCGGGTAGGTATTATTGGTAATCAAATGAGCAGTCCGCGGATTAATACCGTTCCTCGGCTTTGGGGGTTGAGTCAAGTTGAGTCAAGGGTGATTCAAAATAGGTGGACTGAGGCCGGGGTCTACTGGCTTCCCGATGAGAGATGATCTTCCAGTCATGGCATGCCGGTATTGGTTTGTCATTTGGATAATTATGGGGGCATTTTCAAAGTAGGGCTGAAAGATGACGACGTGGGCCTGTACATTGGCTAGATCGACATCGGCAGATTATGGCCAGAGGTTAGGGTTTCATGAATTAACTATGATATTTCTTAGGTATGAATCGTGCGCTCGTATTATTGGCCAGTAAAAAGCCACGAGACGCCCAGGACGCCAGGGATGACCAGGACCGGTGTTGCGGTATTCTGTAAGATCCTTTTTGTCTTTTGTACATGTTCGCTATACACACGTGGAACTGGTTCATGATATCTAGATATCGAAAGCCTCGCCGTGGCAACATTACACAAGACATGCCTGGAGTTATACACATAATCCCCGATTGCGTACCATAGTAGATAATTTCCGATTCTCTACCTCCAATTACTTTTTTTTTTACCAGTTTCTTAAGGTTGAGTCAGCTTGGGGGTAACGTTAAATCCAAAGGTAGTATCTCTCCCATGGCGGAGGTATCTTACTGGTCGGGAGCTAGGATTGATATCTTGCAGATATTTTTCACCCCCCAGGTCTATTCTGTATAGTCGATCATTACGCAAAGTAGGAATTGCGGACACGAAGAAATTGAGTTCATGTTGAATCTGGGATCTGGAATTCATATTCAGCTATAGTGCCAAAGGTCCGTTGGTAAGACACCGACGGCTAGCACCGTTTGTGCATTGTGGATAGACCATATCCTGTTTTATGATTGGTCAGATGATGACAAATGTGTGCTTATCCCATTGTTCGACCACTCATATCGTTCAGCGGGGACCAAATATGGGGGGCCGTTCAAAACGAGGAGCGGTGTCCTCCAGTATGATCGGCGATGAGCCTCACTGTGGCTTCGGGCTTATTATGCAGTCAGTGTGTGGATTGTAACTATTGCGTTGTGTGACAGGTTATCTGGAAAGGTTCCTAGGAATAGCAAATGCTGGCCTGAATGCCTCCAGAATGGCACGTTGTACGTTGTAAGCTGGTTGTGAGACCGGATGTCTTCGGTCTAAGAATAATATTCGATGGTAGTGTGTCTCAGATATGAAAAACATAGCATCGCATTTCTAATAGGACGGTCTATCATGCATCTAAATCGTGGCTTATGCCGAACCCCCCAAAACCAAGAGATCGCCAAGTCTCCCCAGGGCTGAAATGTTTGGTGGTCCGAATTTCCCGCCCCCACAATGTCTCAAATATCCAAGCTCAGACTGCACTGCTTCTACAAAAATAGAGACATATCTCCAATGTCTCAAATTTGGCCCCAAGATCACTGGGTTCATCTCATGTATCTTTGTGTGTCTTGGATCATACCCGATCCGGCACAGCATCATCTTGTCCAACCAAGAGGGGCGTTTGCTCGCCCGGACCAGGTGCTCCCTTCAGATCAGGGGTATCTCGGTATAAGACGTAGTGTTGGATGCAGAAGATGGCATCGAAAAAGATTGTAACGTTGCCTAGCAGTAGCTTGACCGGGTTGCCGGTGATACCGCTCCAGTCACTTTGAACGCTGGAGTCAAGCACCAGTTGAAGCATTGAAAGGACACCGCCAGCCAAATCCAGAAGAATGGTTCCAATGTTCCAGCCTTCTGTAGATTGGCGCTTGTAGTTCAACACCACCTGAGGCATATATTTCACAATGGTGATCAGGAGTTTGACGTACGAAAACGAGTAGATCTGGGGGGATTTTAGCTCTGTTTTCTAGTTTCTAGATGGTTTAGAAGCCTATTCAACAAGAACGGCTTATTTTCACCTACCACGTCAATCCACGCCCAAGTAGAAGGATCATACCCTCCATCCGGACTTTGCGCCAATACAACCGCCATAACCACCAGAGGAGTCAGGATAGACGCCCAAAATATCCCTGCCATGGTCCAACTGACCCTTTGGAAGCGGGAAACGTGGAACCCCCAGATGAAAGGCCAGAACTGTGTGTACAGCATGATAGTCAATACCACCGCGTGGGCCGCAAATGCAAAATCGTTGAATCGGACGGTGGGATCAATCGAGGCCGGGTGGCGAGCCGCATACTGTGAACGAATGACGGGCGAGAAGAGAAAGGCGGAGGTATATATCGCATAGCAGACAAATCCCAGAGGGTTGATAGTGGATAAATCGATAGATAAGCCGACTGTAGACTTGCGTTTCCAGTTGGTGATGGGCTGCGGATAAAAAGACCCTGACCAACAGAGCATGCTGCGTGCGAGTTAGCCATCAATTTAAGTAATACATGAGATATAACATCGGAATCAACACGTAGACTTACTATGCCCATCCTAAACACCTGGAATAAATTGGTCAGTCATGTTCATAATGCCCGGGGTGCAAATAGGAGTTCACAAACCGGGACAGAGCGTTAATAAATATCTCTATTTGAGGAGTCATGTTGGATTGAGGACACTCATTACAAATGGTCAAGCGGGGAAAGAAGAGAAGGTGTTGATGTAACGATTCGAGCTCCCTTTAGGACAGCACGCAATCTTGTGATAAGATCAGCTGAGGATAAGACGGATAAGACGGATAAGATAAAAGAGTCAACAACCTAGCTAATTTGGGAAGGCGGTCATGATGTAGATCCTGAGTCAGCGGCTGGTTGGCCCGGTAATGTGTTGTAGGAAAACAGATGACTGGGGAAATTGCTCAGCCTCTTGTTGTGATTCCTCCCTGCCCGAGGTTCCTGTGCGACGTACATTTTTCTATTTTATCTTGATTGCGTTGTCGGACGCTTTTTCATTCATATCCTAACCTCACATTCCGAATTTGTACGACTTTATTCCGTTCCTCTCCTTGCGCTCCGCATCGACTTCTACTCTACGGCCCTCTCGAACCATACTTAGATCTCGTCACACGATCCCTTTCGTGCCATAAACTGGTCAATATAGAGTCAATTGGGCCACCTGACATTGGGCATTCCATTTGAAATTTAGATCCCGTTATCACATGGTGCATTCCCCGGATCGGGAGATCTCGAAAGATCTCCTTCGGTAAATCCGACATTCCAGACTGAAGATCGCGTCGTCGTTCGAGAATTATCCGCAAAATGTCGAACTCAGATCTCGCCGCAGCGGGGAGCAGCACATATGCATCCAATACCCTTCATGTTGGGGATGGCACCTGGGACTCTGGGCGAGATACCTTCCTGCTGCCCAATTTGATGGGTGTCAACTTTGAGACGATGCGATACAATGGTTAGTCTGGGCATCAACAATCTACGCTTTATGGTTATGACTGACATTTTACAGGCATGGGGAACCGTTTCAAAGATATGGCAGGGTACCATTCCATAATCATCGCGCACGGCGTCATTGCAACAATCGTTTTCTTGGGCATTGTCCCAACCTCAATTTTCCTAATCCGATACTACTCCCGATGGAATCCGTACTGGGCATTTAAATTGCATGCTTGGTGTCAGGTACTCACCTTGCTCCTGACCACGGTCGTGTTTGTGCTTGGGTGGTTCGCCGTTGGGCCGAAAAGAAGCCTAACCAACCCCCATCATGGAATTGGCCTGGCAATCTATGTTTTAGTCATTTTCCAGGTGCTGTGGGGCTGGTTCTTGCACAAGAAGGAAAGTAAGAGACAGCGTATTCACGTTCCTCTGAAACTCGTGGTAAGTGACGCCCCTGGAAGGGGTATATGGGCTTTCCTTAACATATTCTAGTTACACCGATGGCTGGGTCGTGCTCTTTTACTTCTCGGCATTGCACAAATTCCACTAGGACTCACGCTTTACGGTTCGCCAAAGGTCCTGTTCATCCTATTCGCAATAACAGCCTTCGGTTACTTAGTACTTTACTTTATACTTTCCTACCGATATGATGTCGAAGGATATCACATGGGGAGTGAGCATGGTGGTGGCCACAGTCATTATACAGGGCCTTCAGAAATTTCAGAGCACCATGGCAATCACACGGGAGCAGCTCTCGCGGCTGGCGCTGCAGGTGCTGGCTTGGCTTCTATGTTTCGACGACGTACAAGCAGTCGCCACCCAAGCCATGCTTATGAAGGCTCTCGCACATCTATTTCTGATGAGAAATATTCCGATGAATCTTCTCGCCATCATGGTGGTGGTGGTGGTTTCGGCAAGAAACTCCTCGAGATTGGCGCACTGGCCGGGGCTGCACTCATGGCCAAGAAGTTCTGGGACCGTCGAAAGAAGCGAGAAGACGATGCCGAATCAGGTCGGTATAGGCCTGCCCATTCGCGCAGTACTAGCCACACAGATGAATCTCTCAGCAGGTTGGAAGATGGTCGACCCGAGCCGACGCATAGCACACCACTTAATCGACCACCAAGTCGTGCACCAAGTAGGGCCCAAAGCCCGGGCTCTTCCTACTACTACAACAGCACATATTTCACCGAGCCGCCAAAGCGAAACGCTTCTCATGGGATTAGAGACGCTGTTCTGGGTGCCGGTGCTTTCGCTGCTGTGAAGCGGTTGTTCAGCCGCGGTAAAAAGGACGATGAAGAGAAACGGCGGCTGGAGGATATCAAGCGCCGAGAAGATGAAGACGAGGCGTTGCAGAGAGCAAACAGCAGGCGACGACCACAGGCGGGAGAAAGTTTCTACCCACGAAGAAGGGCCAGTTCATACAGTGAAACTGATCTCACTGAAACCGATCTATCCCGTCCTCCACCTCGACACACATCACATGGAGAATCTCTTCTTACCGCAGAGCCTCTCGCCTCCGGCGCTATTCATAGCGCTGTATCAGAAATGCCACCTATGCCCCCGAGTCACCAGCAGTTCTCTGGTGACTTGAGGCCTGAAGCTCCTCCCTCACGTCACTCACTCGCTCATGATGGAGCAGAATTTGCATCCGGTGCAGCCGCTGGTGCAGCACTAGATGCAGCCTCCCGCCGCAATCGGAGCAGCAGCCGGCGCCGAGGGGACGACGTTGCTTCCCCGCCGGTATCTGTGAAAGTGAAAATGCATAATGACGGACGACATGTGACACTCCGTCGGCTGACTGAAGAGGAAGCAGCCGCGAGTCGCGAGGCCCGTCGTAGAGAGCGAAGAAGCTCTCGACGTCGCAACAGCAGTGCGGGCTCCTTGTCCGGCAACGAAGACGCCGGCTACGACCGCTGGCGTCGCGTCGAAGAACTCGAACGTCAACAAGACGAACAAATGCGACGTGAACAGGCTGCTGCTTCTGCTGCTCAGCTTGCCCCTCCACAGGCATCTATGGCCCCTTCGGGGAGCATGCCTGCATCCTCATGGGCCGCACCGCCCTCCCAAGTCAGCCAAATGCCGCCTCCACCCCCCATTCCTGCACCTTCCACCATCCCGTATGGAGCAAACAGTGTCACTTCGCCCACATATACCGGTACTGAGATGAGTGGCTCGTACGCGAACAATCGTCGCCGCAGACGGGCTGAACGAGCCCGGACCCGACAAGAGAGGCAGCAGCAGCATGGTGTGGAATTCACTTGATCGCTTTCTTGGTACCGTTTATTTTTTCCTTTCTCTTGTGTCTACTACAGACCCAGCTTACGACATGTACAAAACGATTTATGTGCCTCAGAGCCGTGCTGATGTAAATGATCCCCCTTGTCACGGTGCTATGTCCTCCTTTCGAGATGTTTTCTTTTCTTGAATGTGCTTTTCGAGGCGACGAAATGATTATTTTAGCTAGATTTTCCTTTCTCATCTCTTTTTTTGTAATGCCAGCGATTTAACAGATCTTTTATTGGGTTTTGGTTGGCTTTTTTGCTAGTCTTGTCTTCACCTTTGTGTATTGATTATTTGCCCTCTTCTTTTGGGGGTTATCCGGAGGCTGTCGCTTGGAATTTTTGCAGAAATAAACTTAAAATACGCTGAAAGTCGATTAATCTTCAACAATATTCTGCGCCAGTAAACCTCCGTACATTAAACCTTACGTATAGCTGGTAATGAACTCAGATAATCTTCGTGGAGCTACTACATGCCAAGTTAGGGCAAGCTTCCCCGCTCACCAAAGCCCACTCAACTATATTAAGAAGTATTTCCTTAGAAGCTATGTCTCATAGTAAGATAACATGACTCATACACAGTGGGAGTCGTCGTCGACAATAGCCCCAGAGACTCGATCGAGAGATTGGTTATCGAGTATCAAAGTGATTGATCTTATGGCTACTAGAATCATAAGGCCTATTATATCAGCCGCCAGAGCAATTTTAAAGCTAAGCATGTGCATGCATGCAATGGTGGTGGCTTGCCCTAGAAGTGCTCGGACTAGGCGGACCGCTTGAATGTTATCTACTGTGAGAGGGTACTGGGTCTTAACGATCCACACCACGAGTTTTGACGAATTAATAACATATAGTCCTGAAAATAGATATAGAGGTATTAATGAATGGTCTGAACTCATCGAAAGCAACCTCTAAGTACAAGATAGGAATGCCTTTCGCGTCCAATGTAGTCCACTCCTACTCGGGACAAATCTCCTCTCACTGTCTACAAATCCACCACGCAGCATTCGCCCATAGTCAACCCCTAGCTTTAGATCTGTGGACTTCTCATCGTGTTCGGGGTCCCAGACTCTCCATCCATTCTCAGGAGGGATTTTTCAAGCGCGTCACTACAGGCAGAGCAGGAGGTGTATCAGGCGTAATAGCTTGTTCCTCTAGCGGCTTCGGTTTCGACCAACATGGTGGCTTTCGTTCCAACGAGAGGAATATTTCATGTTCTTTTAAGAAACAGTGCCAGTACAACAGATTCGGATTCGAAGATAACGTTGAAGGGAGGAAATAGACATCAAAAAATAACATTGAATTGTGTCCGCGTTATGGAAACTCGGCTAAAGCACAATTTCTGTGGTCTAGAAAGCTACGGAAAACAGTCTAAAGATATCAATCCTCAGATCATTCAGCGGCACCTCCCTGCAGCTTTGGAATACTCCTGCTATTATTGGGTACATCATCTAGAGCAGAGCCATGGTGGTATCTCTAATTTTGAAATCCTCTCTTTTCTTCAAAAGCTGTTCCTTCACTGGTTAGAGGCACTAGCTTTGGTAGGAAAGATATCCGAGGCAGTAGGAATAAAGACATTAGAGTCCGGCATATAGGTACAATATGCTTATATGGCTGGCATTGCTCCACTACAACTCTGATGTTCTGGGCTAGCGTTTACACCGACACAAAGCACCATCAAGGGGACATTTATTAGCGAAATATCAAAGATACAGCCACTACTAGCTATGACGAATTCTTAGAGCACAAATCTACAGACGCTAGAAGGCCATTCAGTTCGGGTTAATTCAGTGGCCTTCTCTCGCGATGGGCTCACCCTGGCATCGGGCTCGGCCGACAGGACCATCAAGCTCTAGAATACGGCGACGGGCACGCAGTTGCGGACAATAATGGACCATTCGAGTGCCGTTACTTCAACGGCCTTCTCTCACGATGGGGTCACGCTAACTCTCGGAAAAGCTCCTGGCAATTTCTAGATATCAGTATCAAGTAACTGGGCTATTATGGCCCATTTTGGCATACTGGGCCCGACGGCTAGGTATTTACAGAGACTTCAGGTCTGTTCAACTACTTAACAGAATTATCACAAGGTACATAAGGTGAGATACCGGCGGCTTTGATGAGACGCAATAAATTAGTGTGTGGGAAGAGGTGCTACTACGCTCGCACGTTAGCACCCTCCAGCTCGGACAGGCCAGTCATTGACAGTCCTTTCCAATGTCTCTCTCAGGTATAGTCATGAAATCGGCAAAGCCTTGTGCGTACGGAACGTTGAAAGATTGATATCGATATTGAAAGATAGAAACATGTTGTGCAACCAGACTCACATGTTTAATAGGAAAAAGTATCGTAACGTACTTTTACCTCAATCATGATGATCTATGCAGCGGCTATGAAAGAGTCTTTTTGAACCCTTCGAGGGAGTTAACCGCGCGCTGTAGCTCTGTTCAAACCTGCTTAGGTTTTGCCTGTATCACAAGCATATCCATTTCGGTCTGTTTGGTAACCCAATTACCGGTTACGTGCCAATCCTTCTCTGGTGAGGCAAGCTCAGAAGTGAAGTGACGGTAGAACTCGGTTATGAATTTGTAAATCTGCATCATAGCGATATTCTTCCCTATACACATCCGAGGGCCGGCGCCAAACTTCCATAAACATTAGCTGGACGAAACAGGATCGTTGGTGATCTGGGGCTTACCGAAAACAAGTTTCTTTTCATTTCCTGAATGCTGTCTTCAGGTCCATCCAGCCATCGTTCTGGTCGGAAGGACTCTACATCTTCTCCGAAGATCTCGGTATTACGATGGATTACCCATGGGTTTATTCCCACGATGGTTCCGCCGGGTATGTGGTATCTATCAATACGGGCACCCTCTGGCGGTGTGACACGCTCGTTGATGAGACCTAAATTTCCATGGATGCGCAAGGATTCGTTGATGACGGCTCCTCTAAACAAAAAGGATCAGTGCTTGGACGAGTTTCAGAACCTGGGAACCTACAGATAAGGCAGCTTCGATGTCTCTGTGTAGGGTAATGCATCCGTCGACCGATAGCGCGTTGTTATGGTGGCGAGCTCAGCACGGAGCTTGTCCTCGACTCGAGGAGACCGAGCAACGTAGTACAAGATCGCTCGGAGAGTAACAGCAAGTACATCGTGACCGGCCATACTAATTCAGTTGTTGTCAACAGTTTCCTTTACCAATGATGGCCCAAGAGACCTACAAGTTGATGTAGATTGATCCAGTGATATCTCGAATAGAAAGCCTGTCCGGTTGAGCCTGCCGGAGCTCTAGAAAACTGTTTAACATATCCGGAGTCTGAGTAGGCTTTTCGAGACGTTGCCGAATCACGGTGGTGGTGTACTACAAGGGAGTGAATATGTCAACATGACTGCACAATCCCTTCGATGAGGAGGCTTCTAACCTTTAGCACCGGATTGAGCTTCTCCGCTCCCCAACTGGTGTCCATTAATCTTCGGATCACTTGGAGGAAGGGTGCTTGGCCGAGCTATGGAGCTGAATCAGTATTTTACCATAACAGCAGTATTTTTCAGAGTAGTTTACCAATCCAGTTTTGATCAGAACTTTGTCAGAGCCCTCAATAAATCCATTGAAATCTCTGCCGGTATCCAGAAATCCGAATTTCTTGGATACATTCAGCTCCCCGAGGCAATCAAACGCGAAGAGATGCACCCATAGGGACATATCCACATTGGTTGGACCATCATTCCGAGTCCGATTTCGCAATTGATTTGTGAATATTTCCACACAAGTATCAATTTTAGATTCTAGGTCAAGAACCGCAGCTTTCGTGTATAGACCACCAACTACCTTTTTAAGCGACGAGTGGTAGTTGACATCTCGCACTGAAAATAGATTCAGCAGTGGGCTGCCTTCGAACGGGGCTGCTGCTGGCTTATAAAAGTCGGACTGTGCTTGGCCTCAGTCCATCAAGCTATAACATAGGTACTTGAGCCTCAAGGTGCAAGATTTTCTCACTTTGGGATATGCCTGTCTCGATCCATGTATAATATGGAGTGCCTCGGGGCTTGAGAATGAGACGTGCTTTGGACCAATTCGGACAACTGGTCCATACTTTTTGTGCACAGATATGTTACGCCGTGGCATGTCATTGTTGTAGACAGCCAAGATCTTCCAGAGATTGCAAAAGCTTGCAGAGAACGGTCCGGGGATAGCATTGAGACCTCCGTGATAGCGAGTTCGCAGGGATTGAAAGGCTAAGCAGAGCGCACAAAGTGCAAACAATGTCAAATACTCGTCCATTTTTAGTTCTCAGTAGCTAAGAATGTCATTTAGGACGGATTAAGTTGAAGGGGCAAAAGCTGTGGCAGCAGAATCGCCTGGAATACACTACTTGCTTACATGAGAGCTTTGGTCTCTGCTTCAATTGTTTTGGGCCAATACCTAAGCGGAAATCTACAGGTGATACCTGATAACATGATTGTAATTCACATACGGAATCTTTCACTGGTGCTGTTCTGCCGTACTGGTGGTAAAGGGTTTGTCACAGCCTAATGCAGCCGAGCGTCATACACATCCGAAATTGGCCGATGCTGCGAGACGAATGCCCTGTTTTATATCTGCATGTCAAACGGGAATACGGCCTCCCACTATGTCATCTCATAGCCAACTCTGGGGTTGCCGTTTTCATCTACCAACCGAAAGAATGAGTTCAAAGTATATGGTAGGGAGAAGGGGTTTTTTTGGTCCATTCATATACCACATACCGTTCCAATTGGCCGTATTGGTCAAACAGTCGAGCTACTAGGATCGCAAATTGCACGTGGAATCGATTTTGTTCATAATCCGCTTCAGATATCGCTCGCAATGAAAGTCCGTGGGTAAGCAAAGTGCTCTATACGTCTACCAGATTGCGAATACCGGTAAATACGTGGGTGCCCTGTTGCGTTGCTACGAATCCCACGTTTTCACATTTACGCCAAATTTACCAGCCAGATGATAGGCAATCCGCTCGACAACAATTCACTAGCGACGGTATCAATGTAGTACCGACTATTCACGGCCCTCATTCCACAAAATAGTTGATTTCTTTTTTTTTTATAAATGTGGTGATACTTTGTCGGAATTTTCTTCAAACAGAAGGTCTCGTCCTGGACACCTAAGGCCTTTCTTCCAGGAAACAGGAGACACGTCAGCATCCAACAATTTGTTCTGCACGAAGGAATCATCGGAATCATCATGATTGGTGGAGAAAGCAAGCAATATAAAATTAGCCAAATTGAATGTATTTTCAGCCTCAGCGCTGATCGGCGGTTCGACTTCGAGTATGAGATAGCTGGTCCAAAAGATTTCCCATAACTTATGCGAATGAAATTTCAGTCCTAAGTTGTAATTTATGACCCGTAAGAATGGTGTTTCGAGATTTATCACTCGCTTGCATTTACCAGCCTTAGGGGCCGCTTACCACCCACGTTACCTGTCCGAGATATTATAGGATCACTTGTATACTCGACTTGTACCAATGGCTCAGCCTTTACTTGATGGAGGCCCCGAATTTCAATTCGGGCGTTATCAATTCGCCTTGAATAGCCTTTCCACATCATCTACGGACCTTGAACGTCGAGAACATGCCACAAGAATCACTCGCTACCATTATTACCCGGTTGAGCTTTCGATTTGGCAACGAGTGAACTCAGAGCTCGACAGCTTTGAGAGTGGATCAAGTAGATCTTAGAGCTATCAATGAAAACAAAAAGGCTATATAATCGACGAATTTTCCCCCCTATCTGCGATGATTTAAGTCTAGCCTTTGCTGTAGTCCGTGATTGTAGGGAGGTAGCAATACCGAGCGCCATACGCCGTGCTGCCATAATAATCTATAAAATCTTTCTAACTGTGTCTAATTGATAGGAGGGCACTCGACTAAGAATCTTCTCGTATGCCTTATCTACTAATTGAGGTATTAACTGGATTAACTCCTCAGTAGGGCGAAGGCTATCTTCGAATGTGGACTAAATGTCGTCAATAGCTAAGTGTAGCTAGAGATACGTACGGTGGTCTATTTGTAGAAGCTGCTGCTCGAGTTACTACTCTGTGTCCCGTGACAACGCTACTCTTTCAGCGAGCTCTTTGACTCGCATCTTTACAACGAGATTAATTTCTTAGTGGATTTGATCATTTTCTTCCTCTCCTTTTAGATGTAGATATAGAAGACGGTCTATCATTCTTCTAATCCTATTCTAGATATAGTTATAGGGGCAACTAGTAACTAGGAATTTCAACCAGCTGTCCTATATTAGAGGATATTGTAAGCGGTGAAACGACTAGAGCTTTTCAATTAGTCGAGTTTGATCAATCTTACGGCATTCGTCAAGCTCGTCGAATAGGCAAATTGTCTTACATGCTTTGTTAGATAGCATAGCCGTTATCAAAATTCGCCAAAGTTCGTCGACCTCTTCTCTTAGCTTCTCTGTATTTTGTTTCTAGGACGGGATGGCATAATGTAATAGATAAGGCCGTTGGCTAAAAGGCTGGTGGAGTATCGAGCACAATACTACAGAAAGATAATTTTGTTCGTCGTTGTCCTTGAAGAAAAAGTAATAGACCGTCACTTCTAGATATAGAGCTTTTAAAAAGTCATCGATTATTGATCGGGATAGTATAGACTTCCCGTAGCCTGGGTCGGCAGATACCTAGAGAAGATCGTTGTAGCTGCTCTCTGATTAACGGGTGAATTCAGGGCTTTGTAGTGCCTATAGACAGTTCCTTCCACTTTCCTAGGATTAATGTTCTTTTGCTCCTCGTAAGGTGATGTCTTGAATATTTGGTGACAGCGGTCACGATGATGTTGTTCTCGCTGGCTGTTCGCTTGATCTCGCTGTCTGTTTGCTTGGTCTAGACGTTGATTTGTGCCTTCGATTTCGACTTTCAATCGATCTACATAGAGGCCTAAGCAATTGATCGTTGATTCAGGAATAACCTAGGACTGATTTCACTTACTGTTATGCATTTACTACCAAGTTCTCCTGTGATAATTGGCCAACAGGAACATACTCCAGCAGCTCTTTAGTGTATGCTGCTGCTGCTAAGGCAGCATACCCCAGCCATTCCTTGTTCTTGTGCGAGTCGGCATAATCACAAATACCGCGGATGACAACACACGGAAAGTCCAACATCAGACCAGCTGCCTCCATTTCAAAGCACAATGCTCCAGTCTCTGAACGAATCTGCTCTCTTGTCCGCCCGTCTTTGATGACTTTATTACCAGAAGCAATAATACCGTAGTGGGGCTGTGGATCACTATCCTCGCGGTCACCTCTTATCTCTTCCCACTCCGCTAGACATCTATTACAGTTGCTCTTATAAGCAGGATGGTTATATTTCGTCGTAAAGAGTCGATCAGACTGTACAATAGGACGGCCGAAATTCTTCCGAGTTCGAGCGGTCCTTCCGATAGCGCTTTAGAGATATTCTAGGTAGCGTAGGTCATCCGTTAGGCTGGCAGTTCTTATCGTGCCAATTGCGGTCAATAGTGCTCTCGGGGGGTTGTTCAGCGAGCTAGTTCGTTCAAATTCACCACCTGCAGTAACCTTCCCTAAATCATATTGAATCACCCCACCACAGGTACCTTGTGGATAACTAATGACGATATCGCCAAGCCGGATATCATGAGCAGAAGGAACTCCACCCCTGATACCGACCATCAGCCCGATTCGAAGTGACTTGGAGAAGGTACGAAGCATGTTGTTTGCGACCGTAGTAGCCGAGGTAGTTCCGTACTGGCCTCCAGGGAGGCAGGCGATCACGACGTGGTGTTTGCCGATTCGGCCCAGTGTGTAACTATTCGAGTCTGCTGCATCTTGCTCCTCGAGAATCCCAAATTTCGCATCTAGCATTTGGGTAGCAGCGGCAGCCTCGGTCGGAAGGGCGCAGATCCAGCCGATTTGGAAGGCATCTCGTGGAGGACAAGCCATTTGAAAGGTCTAGCGTGGTATGCGACGTGAATAGTTTATTCAGTAACAATCAATCTTAGTGAAAGTTGGGAATAAAAATAGAGGTTGATGAATCGTCTCCTGGAGACCCAGAAGAGAAGCGCCAATGACGTGGCAGATAGGAGCAGCCCCGCTGCCAGCAGTCGAATAGCTCAGCTTGGATAGCAGCATCGCGCGGCAACTGGGCAGATGTGATTGGAGAAACCCGCAGCCCGCACCTATGGCTCATTTCGCGTGACAGTACGGCCCGTGACCGACTAAAAACACTGGCCCCTACCCGCCAATGGGCTTGTGCGGGTCTATAGATAAGCATTGACTGGAGACGGCTAGATTTATAACCGGGCGGTGGGTTTAGGCTCAACGTTTCCGAATGCCAAGCTGGCCAAGTGTGGGTGGTATGTATAATACAGAGTGGGCGATTAGCAAGTGGTGAAATATGACAATACAGAACTGGAAGATTAATAAAGAGGCGCCGTGTGGACAATACAATAAGCTAGCGCCTAATTCGGCCAAGTGCATAATTATCTTTTTTTAATTTATGTGAGAATGGAATAAGGCTAGAACTTCAGTTGTATATATAATTGGAGTAAACTAACTCATGTCCAGTATTCTTGATAACAACACGGACATTGTGTTTCTATACGAACCACAGTGCTCGTGAAACATCGTCGGCAGAACTTACGTTGACCGCATAATCGACGTAGTTGCCTAGAGTACATGCCTTGGACGGAGATGTGAATGGGTCACGGTGACATGATCTCAGATGGGTGGGGATATCTGGTCTAGGGTTCGGTGGCCTCAATTCCAATCTTGAGACGTTGAACAGTCACCACTGTATGATAATCACGTACTGAGTTTGAGGCAGCGACCACACTTCTGTTAGAGTATTGCATGCTTCCTCGTCATAATGTGGCTCGTGGCACACTGATGCGAGGGGAGTTGTTTTAATTAGACTTTCGTGTATGGTGTGATTTAGTTGGGACCATGCTTTGAGGTCTGGCCAACATTTATCTCCTGGGATGCAAAGACAAGTGGACGTTGAATTCCATCAACACCCTTCTCGGTGCGAAGGTCTCTGTTTCTGCCACAACCGGTAAAACCAAGCATTTCCAGACTCTCTTTGACCTTTGTGCCACTGCTAAAGGAAACCGGAGCAGCGAATATGCGAACAGGAGAGAGCCCCTGATGGACGAAAACATTCTGCAGTTGCTGGAATGCAACAAAAGATACACAGGCGATAAAATAAAGTAGTTAGAACACAATGATAATGGCACTTTCATGTACAATCGACCTCCCTATTAATACTCTACTTCTGTTCCAGACCTCCCTTCTCGGGTCTTTTCTATGGTCCCAGAATCAAGAGCATTTGTAGAACCGAGCGCAAGCATTGTAGCTCCCAAATAGAAGCTGAATTTAGAAGATTTTTAAGAGGAATATAGAATAGTGGAGGATGTCTAGGCTTACTTTATGAGAGCTATGAGGCTGGGTTCAGTACCTTACATTCAGGTACACGAGATCGAAGCACTTGGTACCCTTACCCAGGTGGCAATGTCTGTTATCGCTGATTGGACAGATACCTATTATTAGACATAATGAGGAACTCGCTGCCTCCATCTTTTGGCCCGGACCTGCAGGTGCCTCATGCCCACGCGGCCTCCAAATCGTTGGCCCCTGCATGTGAGACTTCTCTCGGGGTCCATAGCACTCAAGTGCTCACTGGAAAGTCTAGGTAGGTATGGGGTGGCTGATTACGAAGAGCGCTCTATTTCTCTTAATGTATCAAAATCTGTAATTGCTTATTGCTTTTCATGTTACTTTTTGATTAATTTTAATTTCTGATTATTCAATAGAAATATACATTAGACGATAAGAAAAGAATACGCTTCTGACACTCCCAACATATGTATTTTCTACCCCCTCCCCCCCCCCCAAACGGACTCTCTGCCCCAACGAAACTCTCTCTGCACCACACATTCAAATGTTACAGCTAGGCTATACACACAATCACATGTGTAGTTACGTACAGACTTAACCTCCGTCAGCAATTCCGAGCTTGAGGTTGCTCGCCTTTCCCCGTGTGATTGTGAGATTTCACCATTGTAAAGGGAAATAGGAACAAAGAAATTCGAAGTCAGGTGACAGAATTAGCTTCTTTCACCTGGGCAAGTACTTTCTATTACAAATAGTACCTTATTAAAGGAGATTCTCCTCATTTCTTGGATCCGGAGCCTTTCCTTCTCCAAGGTTTCTTTACAAGACTTGAACATCACTCTCATCCCATTGCACCCTAACCAATCATTCCACTACCCACAGAACCCATCTGCCATGTCTTCCAACCTTCTTATCACCGGTGCTACCGGCTTTATTGGCTTTAAAGTTCTCCTCGGAGCCCTCCAGGCCGGGTACACGGTCCGAGCAGCTATTCGGTCCTCCGAGAAAGCCAAAGCACTTGCCTCCCACCCGAAGATAACTGCTTCTGGGAAGGCAGACAAGCTCTCATTCGTCGAGGTTCCTGACATCACTAGTGACGGCGCTTACGATGAGGCTATCAAAGATGTTACCTATGTCATTCACCTCGCTTCACCTCTCCCTTCGCCGTTCCTGGACCCACAGACCGGCATCTACGAGCCAAACATCAAGAGTGTGAGCACCCTACTTGCATCCGCAATCAAGGAGCCATCGGTGAAGAAGGTTGTCATCACATCTTCGGTCTTCGCAAACATGCCCTTCCCTCCAGACCCAAGCCAGGAAATCACGGCTGAGACCAGATTGCCTGACCTGCCGGGGCCTTTTGACTCCATGCTCCCCGCATACAGTGCCGGCAAGGTTGCAGCGCTGAACTTCACCGAGAAGTTCATCAAGGAGAAGGTGCCTTCTTTCGCTGTTGTCAAAGTCTTCCCCGGTTTCGTCTTCGGTCGGGATGACAGAGCTCTAGAGGTCAAGGACCTCTATGCGGGAACTAATCGCATCCTTCTAGCAGCCATCACTGGGCAGACTGCCAAGGGCCCTATGCCAGCAGGCGCCACCCATGTGGATGATGCCGCCAAGGTACATCTAGCAGGATTGAAAGAAGGCATAGCTGGGAACTTCGGTGTCACGAAGGTCCACGACTTCAACGATGCTTGGAAAGCCGTTGAGAAGCACTTTCCCGAGGCTGTTGCGGACGGCACATTCACGCAGGGAAATCAGCCAACTGTGCCCGTCAATTGGAATGCTCATCAGACCGAGATTGATCTCGAGTTTAATTTCAAGACGTATGAGGACATGGTTGTTGACGTTGCCGGCCAGTACCTTGAGCTGTCTGGCAAGAAGGAGACTTGAATCTTAGTTTCTCCCATTTGTTTAAGCTAAAGCCACTCCATTATATTTCTTCTAGTTATAGTCCAAGTCAATAGAACGAACATAGATAGTAGATTAGCCAAACTTTTCCTCGAGATTGATGTCCTTCGTCAAATGTGACAAACAGATCTAATGTGTCTTTTCTTTAAACATCTACGCATGAACTTTAGTTGCATACGCTATGGTTAGGCCCAATTCTAACCAGCGGGCCATAATTTTCATGAAGTTGAGTATTAACATACGGCATTTTCTCTAGGCGGACTATTTTACTATGTCCCATTTCCAGAGGCTAGTGATACTGGCCAGGAAAGGGCCAGGAATCTTGTTGAGCCCATTGAAATAACGAGTGCGAATCAAATAAACGAGGAACAAAGTTAGGGCTGTCACAATAAGTCACGATGAGGGAACGGCCAATGTGGAAGAGAGCTTGTATCTCAAGCATGTTTGACATGGTGAAGCAGTAGGTTGAGACTCGTAGTTTCTTGGTAAGTTCAAGGATTGGAGAAAGATCAACCCAGAGTAGACCGCTGTTAGATACAGTACTTCCGGAAACCGGTGTCACCACTCACACTCTTCGATGCGCCGTAATGCGGAAAAAAATAAAAATATAAAAAACAAAAGGAAAAGAAGGGAAAAAACCCCCGCAAGATGCTTCGATAAATACACCAGTCAAATCTGACATGCAGCAAACTTTCAGTATGTTATACAAGTATGCAAACAACATAATTTGGCGGTATCTGTAAAAGACTGTAATAGTAATTGTCAGTTTGTAGGAAGTCCGCGTACGCTTGTACTGAGGGGACCAATTGGCATGATTGCTTAACTATCTTAGAGACTGCTGTTGAAGTGTCTCTAGACCTTAAGGGCTAAGGTTTTTCTGAAACGTGAGTATTTCCCCAGTTGATCCGGTATACCACACAAAATCAGTGCGGAATTGGGACACCATTTCACAAGTATCATAGTAGGAGGCGAGATGGCCTTTTACACCGAGTTCATGGACCATCCTTGGTTGTTGCGGTACCACAAGACTGCCTATGAACAAAATACCAAGGTCCTTACCCGGAAGTCCACTGTCTCTACATAAACTACGATGGGGCTATTACTGGCGAAGATACCAATGTTTTTCGGATAGCGACACTTCCTATCGAAACGCTCTCGTGACTGGTAAGAAACTCATCTGAGTCGCTGAAAGCAAAGCTAATATGCAAGTATTTAGTTTTTCTGGAGGAACTGAAGTACTTTAGCGGCATTGTTTTCCTCACCACCAATCGTATCAAGTCTTTTGACAAAGCCATGAAGTCTCCCTCATACTCGAATATACCCCACCAGGCCTTGAGACCAGAGAAAAACTCTGGGTGCAAACGTTGAAGCTTATACCAACCGAGGAGACTTTTTGTGGGCCTTGATGAGGCCATTAAGGCCTTCGTGCTGGTGAAGATAACTGGAATCGAGATAGTCTCGGCTGTTTGTTTGAATATCATGAAAGAGAAGGTGGTATTTGACATATATCAATGGATAATCCTCCGAGTTGATACCGTAGTAGCGAAGGGAAAGCATCACATCTGCGAGATATGACACTTGGTCAAGAGGGCCGGCTATATGCGGCCCAGGTAGTGGCGGAAATGAAAACATGGTGAGGTAGCTTAATGAGACCAATAGTTCGAGATTGATCTGAGGCTGTTTAGCAGCGCCCGAATTGGATATCCTAAGCATTTGCTGTTATTCGCAGCTTTACTATTACTAGATTAACAAATGGAAAAAAAAGCATGATACTAGGCAATAACTTCATTTCTCTATCATCAACAACCAAAATCATAACTTACAATTCCTTACCTTGGTAATGATGGACCCCCCACCGATCACTCGAACACCAAATATCATTCTCATCATGAAACTTCGCCGCCAGTGTATGCAGATCCATCATCTGCAACGCGACAATCGGGTAAAACTCTTGTAAGAGAGTCTCCACAGCCACATTAAGATACCCATTAAATCCAGCCCCGGCCATATCCTCATCACCCAACCCCGGCATAGGTAGAAGAGGCTGGGCACTCGCTCGGGACAGCGAAACAACAAAGGGAACTTTTTGGCGCTCGCGGCGTGGCGCAGAAGAAGGGAGTGGAGAGGTAAGGACAGACTCAATTGAAGCTGGTGTTACTATAAGACAAGCGGAAGTGGAGAGTCCCCGTGGAAGGCCCTTTGCGGTTTCATTAAAGCGTCTTATAATATATCAGTCCAATGAAGACAAGAAAAGAATAAACAAAATACCACATACCTAGCTACCTCCGCCGCATCTATACCCTCTAACTCGGGATATTCTACCCACTGAAACTCCAGCAACTGAATCGCCCGATCTACCTTCTCTAGCCCCCGATGCGGGGCTAACTCGTCCTCGATAATCGCATCCCACCGGCTTCGAAATTCCGCCCACTGTGTCTCATGCTCAACTCCGTAGGGACTCGTACGAAACACCACGAATCCCCATTTCCCCCAATCCTCGGTCTCTAGGCTTCGGAAGACGGAGCTTAGGGTCTGAATAAAGGGCGCGTGGAGCTCTCGCTCTTGATGCTTTGTTTCCTCTGACTTGGCGCCCTCGACTCGGGCCCGGTAACGACGACTCATTTCCTGCATGATTTCACGGAAACCCTCTTCGCCGTGAGTTGCTTTGAGGCCGACAAAGAGGTCGGTGCGTTGGGTTTCTGAGAGTGTCATTAGGTCGTTCCCGCTGGCGTTGAGGAGCCGGTCATGGGTCCAGCCTGGAGGGTAGAAGGACATGGTTAGCTCTTGTTGAGGTGAGATGAGGTATGCCCATTCTCTGGGAGGACAGCGGCGGTCACATGTGGACTTTCTAGCTTAGCGCTTAAAGCCGATGACGTTAGGTATGTATGTATGCATTGATGTATACATTAAATACTTTCGTCGTTTTTTTTCGTGTCTTCCTTTATTTTGCAAAATCCAGAAGTTTTTCTACTGCAAAATTGACAAATACTTTGTATTTGCGCATACTCGCCGAATTCGACCATTTAGTAGCCTGTTGGTAGCGACTATACCACCTATCTAGCCATAGAGAGTCCCTATAAGTTAATTCAAATTTACTGTGTTTCATTTACTGAGAATCTCTCCATTAAAGACGGCATGTGGCAGGTATAAATGGTTCCATTACTAAAACTGGTTTAATTGATACTCATGACTCGGCTTTCAGCCACAAAAAGGTATGGAGAGCAAGACTAAACTCATCCGCGCGACACAAGAAGATACCCGTAGAATATGCAGCATACAAACTGTCTTTGGAGAAAGTAGAGTGGAATTCACTGGTCTGCATGTCGCGTCGATCTTGTCCAACCTCAATTGCTTACCACACTAAGGGTGTGGCTACTCAATCCGAATGAGCGGTGTCCGGATTCCACTGACAGCCGCAAGACACTCCGCATTTGGACAACACAATAATGGTGATGTTCATCAGTAGATACAGTAGAGCTCTAGCAAGGTAGAGCATTACAGCGCCGGCCCGGGTGTTGGCCAATGGGTGTGTTGCAGCGAAGATCACACTGAGAGGTAGCAGTACAACTAGTGCAGGAATGATGAAGCAAGTGTGGAGTAGCAAGTCATCAATGGTTGGATGGCAAGTGATGTGTTCGAATTCGAGAGGGAAATGCGGAGAAGGTTGTTGAGGGAGGTCAGTTCGAGTCATTCGAAATCTGAAAGCGTACTTTGGTGCTTTCTCAGTGGATGAACTAGGCGCAGGTCGTGTTCTGTAGAGTGAAAACGAAACAGCAAGAAATGCAGGGAGGTTCTGCTCGGTGTTATTCGCAATGTTCGAGTTATCCGCAACAGGAGTGTCGCCCACATTGCCGGCTCCCACTTCTCGAGCACCACTACTCAAGCCAACACGAGCGAGGAACGATGTTTGGCGTGTTTCACGATATGGCAAGCTGGAAAGGGACGAGCCACGCAGATCATGGTTCTTTGGGATTCGGGTTGCCAAAAACTGCGTTCTTTTTGTAGGCATTTTGCTTGGTGAGCTTTTTCGAGAGTTCGCGTGACCAGTGACCTTCCATTTCTGGTATTGTTTCCTCTGTCGATGCAAAGCAACATAATCTTGCCTTCTTTCAATCGAAGGTTGGGGACGGCGTATCGCACGAGAAGGCGGAGACAAAGAGGCCGGGGGAGAAAACCGAACGCATCGCAGCAGTGAATCTGGATCGCCATGTTTGTTGAAGGTACCGGCATTTACGCCTGGCTGATGATTCGACAGGGCCGCAGCAGGAGGTTTGATCCACTGCCGGCGGTCAACGGAAAGGCATCGCAACTTTGAGGGTTTGGGGGATTCGCTTTCATCGTCTTGATGAACAAAGCTTGCCTCTGGCGAATCTTGGAAGCAATCGAAATTGAATTCCTCCGTCTGAGGGGCAAGACTCGTCCGTAGGTTCTCCATTTTATAGCAATGAAGGGATTCAGTGGATTCCTCCGCGCTCCCTCGTTCGCTATTTGATGCGGGTGTGTTTTGGGGATTCAATGGCTCAGCGAGACCATCAAGAGTGTGGTACTTATCCACAGCGACATCCAACTCAAGTCGAGGACACTTTCGGCTGGAACCGAACCCACGGAATGACTCGCGAAGTTCGAGGATTCGGTGAGCTTGCTTTGGGCTTGCTTCGGTCTGGTCGCCTGGCTGTCTTTCGTCAGATACATCAAACCTGGTGAATGGTGCAACGAGAGGTGAAAAGAAGCGATCCGTAGGTGAGTCCGTCATCGTCAGTCGAGTATCCACGATGCCGAGAGGGTCTGACTTAAGTGATTTGGCGAATGCCATATCTGCACGGTTAGCTGAAGCTAAAAGTTGATGGTCGTTGGACTGAGATGGGGAAGTCAGGTGCTCAAATTCCAAGCGTGGAAGGTGCGCTCCCACCTCTACCGCATAAAATGAAGACAGAAGAAACGATATAGTAAACAAGTATAATTAGAGGGAAAGGGAGAATTGCTATAATTCTACAGGTTCATGGTTGGGGCGATAATGGTTATGTACATCAAGTCTATTTGACGTGAGCCTGGAGGGTCTCGAGAACCTATTCAAGAAAAAAAAGTCAGTATTTAATTAGACCACAATAGTCCCGGCGGGTTCATACCTCAAGCTCAATCTTGGCCTCAGCGATATCCTGCTCGCTGCCGCTGCCGCTGGCAATCTTCTGGGCCTCGGCGATCTGGGCGCGGATGGACTAGCAAGGAAGTTCTGGTTAGCTTGAGTCACAATGTTGCGAAGAAAAATAACCTACATCGGCGCTGAAGTCCTCAAGGGCGAAACCCTCGACAGCGTTGATGCTGAGCTGGGAGTCGGGCTGGACAACGGCGAAACCGCCGGACACTATACAGTAACACCATTGTTAATTGATCGGTTCCAATTGGCAAGAGACCAGATTTGCGGGATGTCTCAGGGCGCGAGGATCGGACGTACGGAAGTACTGCTTGGTGGCACCGCTCTCCTCAAGGATCTCGACGAGACCGGGCTTGAGCTGCTCGATCGAGGGAACGTGGTTGGCGAGGACACCCATCTCACCGGAGGCGGCGGGAATGTTAACCTGGGTACTGTAATCGCGGAGGTTTGTCAGTATTTAGGAAAAGGGCGCAGGCACCGTCGACGCGGGCGTAATTGGAAGCATAACATACACGCCAGTCGAGCGGTAGATGGTCTGTCAAGCAATTATCAAGTCAGTACTTAGGCTATGATGTTGGGATGTCGGCCGGAGTTCGTTCACGCACCTGGTGAGGCAGAGTCAGGGACAGCTTGATCTTGTCGGCGACGGCCTCAGCGTAACCACGGCGCTGGACGGGAGCACCGAGGAAAGAAGGGCGAGCCCGGAGGGCGGAGCGAGCGAAGCGGAAGGAGCTCATTTTGCAGTGGTGGATGACGTGCAAAGGCTGGATTATCCCTCTTGAAGTTGCGTTGCAAAGGTCGAAGTCGGAATGCCGGTTGTTCCCTAGCGGCTGGTCACGTGGCACGGGAATTCAACGGCCGGACTATGGCCAGTATGAGCTGTGTTGACTACGGTTATTCTACGCATATTTTTATGAGAACACAAGGAGAAAACATATTGTTTCATTTAGTGCTCTATCTATTTCAGTATTTGTCTACTTTGGTGTCTATATTCTTGCCAGAAGTCTGATTCCAAAGGTGACATTTTGACGTCGAGAACCACTTAGTCGGGAAAGCCTCGCTAGTAATCAGACATAACGCATCGTAACCGTGCACTAGTCTTGCTACTTGTATGTTGCTTCCGAAATCAAGTGTTCTTCATCCACGTAGACAGCAGTACTTTCTAAGTGTTACTTGCCGATGGGGAAGTATACTAATCACGTGATGGTTATAGATTCAGGTCACGTGTAGGTTAATGGCAGAACCAAGTAAGGAAAAGTCGCAGACTGGAAAGCCGCAAAAAGCAGGCCAAAAAAGACCCAATTTTGAATTATCTAGATCAAATTTATAGAATACATAGGATACACTACCATATCAAAATATTATAACATTGTCTAGGACAATCTTGCATGTAAACAAGCCATCTAGTGACGCTCTATTATGTACACCGCCCGATAAGCGAGATCCCACAAACGGGACGAGCCCTAGCCGAGCCTCTAAGGCCTGACGTCCCTATTCCCACTCCTCTCCATCCATCACACCGTCAATCAGAGACAACATCCGACAAGATGGCCAGTACGTTTTCACCACGATCCTATGACCTTCGCTCAACTGCACGCTGCCGAAAGAGAGAAAAAAAATGGCGATGGCGCTGACATGATTTTCACCCACAGAGTCCAAGAACGCGTCCCAGCACCACCGCAGCCAGAAGGCTCACCGTAACGGGTACGTCTACCCTTGAAATTCCTCGATCACTCTACTTTTACACTTGTCCGATATTTCTCAAGTCGATTCAATGGACATGGTGGAAGAAGTGCTAGTGTGCGAATGATTTTATCCGGGGTGATAATTTCGAGATCACGACTTGAATATTCGCTCGGGCAATCTTTTCGAACTACTACATTCGACCACCATCCGTCACACCGTTTCAATCAGAACCGAATCACTGATATATATCTCCTCGAATAGTATCAAGAAGCCCAAGACCAACCGTTACCCTTCCCTCAACGGTGTCGACCCCAAGTTCCGCCGCAACCACCGTCACGCTCTCCACGGCACCATGAAGGCCCTTGTACGTTGACCACAACCCGAACCCAACATCCAGTACTCACCACTTATGATACGGAATACTGACCCATTGAACAGAAGGAGCGCAAGGAGGGCAAGCGTGAGGTCGCATAGATTATGAACTCAGTCTTAAAAAAATGGGAAACATGAAATGCAACTCGAGCGTGCAAGAGGTCCAGAGAACATAACGTGTGCAATGATCAAGGACGGTCCGCTGTGTCGAATAGGCCTGGTTTTTGCTTATTCCTTGTGCGACGAACCTCGAGTTGTTTGATATCGAGAAATCAACAGGCTTAATTCGATGTGCACAGCGGTGCCATTTTCCCAAGCGGAATCTCTTCTGCGATATCCTTTTCTTTTTCCTTCCAGACTTGAGGGCTCGACTTCGTCTGTGTTGCGGCCCTTGAGCTTAGTCTCTTCCCCCATTTTTCCCCCAAACCTCTCGTCCGGCATATGTGTGTACAGCTGCGTGCTTTTCTCATGCGCGATTGCTGAAGGATTTTTTCTTAACGTGCCAAGAATAACTCTCAAGTCCCCGATTGCTATATATCCTGTCTTGATTCTTCTCGATCGTGACAGGGTTCATGGTCAGGGGGACTACATCCCGTAAAACAGTAACAGTCATCTTTATACTTAGCCATGTTCAATCAATTCATTTACATCTCTATTTTCGTTTTTACATCCATGATATTCAAATTGTCGTATCATCTCTAGGCACGCCACAGATATCGAATATAGTTAAGAAACGTCATACCTTCCAAACAACCAACTTTTTATCGAACCCACCACTGATAACCCATTCCTCCCAGACCGGGTCACCCTCTGTCTGGGGTACAGCAACATACCCCGACCAAACACTTCTCACCTTAAAGCCCGGTTCATGTCCACCTTTCAACGTAGCAATGACCTTCCCTGTCTTCGTCTCGATGCCGCGAACAACACCATCATCTCCATTGACCCAGACTCCAGACCCATTCGGCCGCCACGCCACCTGCGGTGTGGAGTAATCAGTTTGCGGGGCAAAAGTGTTCGCCTGCACGAGGATAGCAGCATCCTCGCGGTTCTGCAGTTCCAGTGTTGCCAGTGCCTGAGACGCCTGTGTCACCGGGTCCTCTGAAGCAGGCGCCGTCTTCACTGCAGGGAATAGCAGACGCACGATGATCACTTTCATGTTGGGCAATGTCGACGTCGCTACGGCCAGAAGGCCCGGGTCGTGTGGACTGAGCACCATATGGGCCGGTGAGAACGCAACCCAGGCATTGGAATGGGGAGCCAGGTTCTGCTGTCCAAGAAGGCGAGCTTCTCGCGAGGACTTCTCAGCAGCGGCTCCATCGTTTTCACGAGTATCGGTTTCTCCCAATGCTGCTTCTACCTGGTAGTAGTAGATATAAGTCGAGTCTCTGCGAGAGACGAGGAGGAGTAGCTCATTGGTATCCACATGTGGGACAAACAGCAGGGATTCCGGGTTTGAAATGAGTTTAATGCGTGTAACGGGCTCACCGATCTTGAGAGCTGGTGCGTTTGCTTCGTCGGGGATGTTGAGGTAATATAAGAAAACACACTCGTCCCACCCGGCCGTAGCAACCCACCACTTGGAAGGATCAGCCTTGTCTTCGAAGGCTACAACATTCACCGCGTACTTTGCATGGTCCTTTCTGCTGTCCAGCGTTTGAGGTCCATGCTGGAGGAGCAGCTGTCCGGACATGTTGGTCATGAGGATGTATCGGCCCTGGAGGATGGAGGTAAATGATAGAACGGGTGAATTAGAGAGGCTCGAGAATGATCTGATAGCCGGGTTGCCTCCTGCTGTATCGAGTAAATGGACTTTTTTGTCTGCACCCGTGGAAACGATGTAAGGCTGCGCTAATGCAGCGTCTGCGGCGGCTTCATCGGCATCGCCGCGGGGGTTCTGCCATTGCTCTACCGACGCAGCAAGGACATTTGATGATGTCGGTGTCTGGATGACAGAAGGTCTTGACGGTGCTAGGGGTCTGTCAGATAAAAGAACAAAAGCAATCGCAGATAAAGCTAGATATGTACAGCCGAGTACCAGTGACTTCTGACTGCCATCCCAGAATAAAACTCACCTGGCTCGCTCCATAAAGTCGACTGCTGATGATCCTTGCCATATCTTTCAAAATTCACGGTTTGGTCATAAATGTTTTTCTCTTCGAGCAAGCTTTGGATGGACCAGTTGTTGGTGTCGTCTCCCGAGCTCTGCCCCACGTCGGGAGCAAGGTCAGCCTCGCGGAGAAAAGCCTTCAATGTCTCGGAATAGTCATGGCTGCGCAGGAACCGAGCAACTATGGCATTTGATAGTGCATCCACTGTTTGGGGGGGAGCCATGCTTGTATTTGATCTCTCGGGGATATTTTGGTTGGGGAAAGATTACTCGTTGCGCATGGCATGTGCTTGTATATATATCTGCAACCGCGACTCCTAGATGAATGTGGTTTGGTCTACATATTATATTTATTATCACTCGGAGATTATAGAAGAATATAGGTATTCATCCAGCAGAGCAGAGTATGTGTCATTATGAAATTTCTATCAGACAATCGATTTCCCCATCTTATTCACGAAACGCCGGATATCCATCATGCTCCCGTGAAGCCTACTAACAATCAAGGAAATACACAATTATTCACATGTCGCTTAGTTTATTCAGCTGAACATATCCTCAGCCCGACGCCGACGACCGCCGCGCCCCTCTAGTGTGTCGGAAAACAATTCCTTGCCAGCGTTGGCGCCAACATTGGTGTTATTGTTTGTGTCATTGTCGAACTTGGAAGGGAACAGCTCACGCACCGACGCACCCCTGCCCTTAATTGACATGCCGCCAGATGCGCCGCCCCGGATGGCAAATCCTTGATCCTCGGTTTTTGTGGCTGCTCCACGAATGCGGGTGCCATTGTTGGTGGAATCAGGGAAGAGCTCAATATTGCTGTGACGTCTGTGTTCAGAGGTGCCTGGGATAGAAGAAGCGTCGAATGCATCTGACCGGCGATGGTGACTAGCCTTGCTAGGCAGCAACTCCTTCTTGATGTAGCTGGATGTAGGCTTGTTCGGGAAAAGTTCGCGGTTTCCTGACTCGCTCTCGCTCGCGCTTGGGAAAAGCTCTCTATCCTTGTTCTTACGAACGTGTATGGGCGACCTCTCACGGAACCGCCTGCTATTATCACGACCACCTCGCTCGACCAGGAGTTCTTCCTCTAGCGTGTCCCGTCCCGGAGACGCACTGCGGTTCCGTAGGCGTCCACTTGACCGGCCCTCGTCCTCTGGGAACAGGTCCCTCTGACCACGACCTCTGGGCTTTGCCCGAGTGCGCCCGGGTTCAGAGCTAACATTATCATCGTACATGTCAACATTGAAGTGGTCGTCCTCGTCGCGGTCTCGACGGCGTCGGTGCTCCCGATCGTCGAATCTGCGCCGCCTGTAATCTCCTTCGCCTGCATCGTCGCTACGTCTCCTGTCCGCGAACTCTTGTCGCAAGCGTTCTCGGGGATCGTGCTCGGGGTGCATGAGGTAGAAACGACTCTTCTCATGAGCGCGTGCTTGCTTGCGGTCCGACTTAACAGCCGATCGCACTTGGAGGACGGAATCAGGGTGGGAGGAGAGGAGCTTCGCCGAACGGAGACGCAGAGATGGCAAGGTAGACGCGTCATCTTCCTCGGCGACTTGAGTGAGAGCTGTGAGAGCTTGGAGGCCAATTTCGGCGGAGGAGAAGATGATGTTGGCGGATGTGTCGTCGATCCATTCAACGCGAACTGGTTCCTGTCCAGAGCAATCGCGAGCAAATTGTTTGATATTGTCTGTGGTCAATTCATCAACGCCGCGAATATGCACTTTTTCGTAGACCGCTTCATCGGTGAGGGGGTCGACGGTGGTTTCTAATTTCGAGGTTGTTTCCTAGCATTCAACATATGTTAGTCAAAAGTCTATTACTACTCTACTCTGGATAGAAAAGAACACACTCACCACCTGAATTGGCTCGGGCTCTAGCTCGGGCTCTGGACCTAGGTCAAGGTCCATGTCGATGTCGATGTCCGCGGTAGGAGCTGAGGCGGCCCCGCTGAATGCCATGATTTCGGCTTCGCTGGATAAATCGAAGGTAATCGGAAGTTCAAATCAGATCTCAGTTAACAGATCGAATGGAATTGACAATTGAGGGGATAGAACTGAGCAATGCACGGTGAAAATCGTGCCCGCTGGTAGCTTGACTGTCTGTCCTGATAAGGAATAGCGTCCTTTTTATGGGGAACATCAGTCATCGGCAATATCAACTAACAACCTCCCGTGGACGTCTAAACGGCTATTATTGTTGAACGCCGAGCCTGACGATAAATTGCGAAGAACCTAACGGTTGTTTTCTTTGATATTCAACGGGTATTTAAACAAAAAAGAAACATTGAAAGGTCAAGAATGGTAATATGGTCTCAGACATGTTTCCTAAACACGGAAGTGCTGTCTGGACCTACAACAGGCACTAGAAAAGCCCAATTGAGGAGGAAACGGGAGTTGAATTTTGACTATAGCAATACCTTAAACAAATATATCAGCGTAAAAATGTGGGAACCATCTTCCAACAAAGCTGATAGACCATCCATGATTCGCATGATAGCTATAATCTCCCAGTGGATACGATCTTCGCTTAGATCCTGTCTTGTATGTGTTGTTTTTATCAAGCAATTGTGAGCTGGCGTCAGTGCTGGAATGAGGCCATGGATCTAGATCTAGTTAGAGCATGGCAGTAGATTTCTAGAATCGAAATTGTTGGAAAAGTATGGTAACAACTTGCTGTGACAGATGTAGCTTGTTTCACTACCCGAGGAAGTCCTAAAGAATATTTAATCTTCTCTATGACACTGTGTGGGCTCTTTTTCAAGGAATTCTCTTTGTGGGACACTAGGAGTCTCTTTAATATCCTAAAACTTAGATAAAGAAGGTATTAAATCTGAGATTTAGTAGTTAATAATGGCCACGACATGCCCACAAAGATGGAATATGTTAAGTACATAGCAAGAGATCTTTCGAAGAATAATAACACACCACAGTAACTCCACATAGCTATCAGATACTCATGTTCTGTCGTATGTGTTCTATCGTACTATACTAACCTAGCCGCTCGGCTAGTTCTAGTAGAGCTCGGCTAGTTTAGCTGTATATGCACCCAGCTCGCTCACCCCAAAATTGCGGTCATTGGTAACAGGTTGGTAGGGGTGAAATGACTCCATGTGGATCGGCTGGGCCAGAAGAGATGCGCGCTTTCTCTTTCTCCTTTCCCAAAGAGTTAGTATCATTCGCCACCGCAGCAGAAGTATCGTTGGACCCCTTCGCCAAGTTCGATAGAGCCGCAACACCAGGGATGGCAGTATCCCCAGGCCAACAAGTAGTCGTGAATGACTTAGGAATCTACTGCGAACTCTTGAGTATGGAGAATCCTCTTTGGAACCACAAGTCATCGTGCTTTACCCTCAGGGCCTCAGTAACTTCTATTCTATTGAGATAATAGCTGTTTCAAATTGCGGACCGAGAATATGGCAAACATTGACTGCAAAGGTTCTGGTCTGGTGGAGGTTCCGCTTTGGGCGTACAACTTCATGTATGTTGTTCCGGTGTATCTTTATCAACCTGCTCCAGATCCTGGTCTGTTACTAGCATTGGGGATGGATAATAGGAGTTCTTGATCGTTCAGTCGTCTTTTCATCAGAGGCAGCATAGTTGGAGACATACTAATTGCGAGCCAAGGAAAGCCCGAAATTCCGAAGCATCCGCTGATAAGATGAATACTTAGCCGGTTTCCCGAAGGCGTATGCCCACACAGACATCAGCATCGCACATCTTGCTGTATTCGGACGCTTTTTTTATTAGGCTTGATTTGCGACGACCTTGTTTTTTGGCACATAGACTTTTTGACAGATTTAGATCGATTGGAATGGGTGGGAGGTGCGGAAGCCTTGTTAAGAGATGCCTTAAAGCGCTACTATTGGGAATGGCCGAAGAAAATCAGGGCACTAAATAGATTAAGTAGCTCTCAGGTATTCTTAAAAGCTTCGAATGGTACAGTATTAGAGCGTTGAAAACTAGTGTCGCATTCCAGAAACCGTGGTCTTCAGAGTTCATGGCCTACGAAGACCTGAAACTGTCCCTGGTGAGTTTATTGATACGGCCATATTGATACCTGCCGCACCAAAAAACGGTTGGCTTCTCCAAAGATCGAGGAGCGGGTCAACAATATCCTAGTAACGCATCAAGCTGAGGTCTAGTTATACTAGAATTCGTTCTTGACAGCGAACCGATGTGTAAACATTGGATGAATCGGTCAACTGCATGTGTGATAAGAGCGACGTTGTTTCTATTCTAGAGAAATAAATTCTTTTTGTGAATATTTCTTGTTCCTCTCTGGATTTCCTCGCCCTGGCACTGGGCATTTCACTCTAATCGGCTGGAGGCTTACGTGTCGGTCGGACAGTTTCCTTCGACGTTACTATCCCTAGGATACCATGACTCTAACGTCTCATTCATTGTAATGAACCGCCATGTCCAAGAGTTCGCGTGGGATAAACTGAGCCTCGACCTTCTTCAAAACCTGGGAATTATCTCTATAGATGGGGATGCTCTCGTCTTTGATACGAACTAAGAGGAAGACCTCATACACGCCACGGGAGCGTAACGACAGCTCGATGACAAGAAACCGGTCATTCTGATTAAGGTTATCGGTCCATTCCATGTCATGCCACACACGTGGGATGATAGCTGATCGTGGTTCGTACTACAAGCTATGCGGCAAAGAGGCTGGTCGATCGCGAGGGAGGATGCGTGCAGAAAAGCGAGAGCAGGCTGGTAGGGTGTGCAGGAGCGCTAATTGATCTCGTTTAGGCAGATATATTAGGGCATTCCTCTTTAAGCACCGTGACTGAAGTGATTCACAGTTTATCTCGTTCCAATTGACCTAGAGGCGGAGGCAACGTGGGTGGTATTACTCTCGGCCCGTACGCACCCAATCGAGAAAAGCGATTGGAACAGACATATCCGTCGGCCCTGTAGCCAGATGCCATCCGAGCAAGGTTGAAAGGGAATCTATTGACTAGTTAAAGTTGTCTTGAGTTTTTCGGGGAGCTAGAAATGGCCCTTTTGAAGACTTGGATAGAAAGAGACCATGTCTTGGGCACTCGAGCGGCTCAGAGTCTTTTCTCACGGGCCCTCACATACGCGAAAGCTTCCTACAAACTGTTCGCGCCACTGGTGTCTATTTTATCCTGGATAGGTGTCATACATGACAGGGATCGCGGGGAATTAATTCATCTATTTAAATTATATACATACACTCTTCCTTGTTCAAGTTTTCTAGAGAATGGCACTAGATGAAAGATGTCTATGAGCAAGAACGTATGTGCATGCACCATCAAAAGAGCAAAGGGACGAAAAGAGGAGGAGGAAGGAGAAGAGGAAAGAGAGGAGAGAGCTATCCAACATGGTTGTAGCTCAAAACGTCACACAAGTTCGTGGCGAATCGTAGTAGAACCCGGTGCCTCCTGAATATCCATACCTGACCGCAGGTCACTTGGATGATGTGTATACAACTCGTTCACTTGAAGTGGCGTCTCCTTTTCAGCTGGATTCAGTGCAATGCTATATTCATCCATGGTCTTAGGTTGCGAATTTGTTGTTCGCTTTCGACGAGAGATGATTGCCCAAGCAATGATCCCAATCAACACCAAGCCACCAATAGCACATCCAATACCAATGCCAACCTTTGCCCCAGTTGAGATACCGGAGTTGGAGCTGCCAATACCAGTTGACCCAGTTGAGAGACTCGAGTTGGACTTCTTCGACGAAAGAGGTACCCAATACCCGTCCCAGCTGTCTTCCCATGAATTGGCTGAAGCCTGGATTGAGGTATCCCTAATCCCAATGCTCTGCTGAACACCTGATCCGATTGCCGGCCCAGGTGCTTGTGCTAAAAACCAGTAACCGCTCCCAATACCCTCTTGCCAGTTTGTGCCAATGAAGGCTGCTTGAAGGAAAGCTCTGCCGAAGACGAAGGAGTCGGAGGGATAGCATGGGAAGTAAGTTGTGTTGTGTTCCACTAGTGGCTCTTGAAGGGTAAGCTTTAGAAGTTGGAAAGGAACTTTTATGGTGATATTTTGAGTGTTTGTCGCATTCTTCTCAAATGTGAAGGACATATATGCCGGGGAGGATATTATTTTCTCGTAGCTTTCGTCGTGTGTGTTCCAGAAATATAGACCCAGATCTTCGTTAAATGTAACCGGGAGCTCCGCTGCCATTGTATCACAGGCCTGTTTAGGAAGGTAGAGGTAGGGAAGTGTAGGATCGATCTCCACTGTTTTCGCCCTGCTGGTGATGCTATCTCCCCATTTGAACAGTCCGGATCTATTCTCAAAGCCAAATGGTGACCCCCCCGTGGCAACTCCTATCCCGATGTCTTTGAGATAAATCATAAGATTGCCGAGATGGTTCGTAGCATCAACCTGTTGAGAGCTTACTTGATCCAACACTCGGCTTTGATCATACCCGCCAAGCATCAGTGAGCCTGGAATATCAGGTTCCACAGACCCAATGTGCATCCCCCATGAGTATCAGGGGATACGATCAGAGGAAGAATCGTTCCAGTGCTCCCAAGCAGATAACAAATATAAGTTAGGTAGCTCCATACTTCTATATCTGAAATAGCTAACTTGAGTCTATACAAATTGATTTATGTAAGAAGGTTGTTATACCAGCAACGGTTAAGTGTCTATGCCATACTGTATCCCGGAATCTATTTATACTGATCCAAGCTTCTGTACTCCGCGATGGTAGTTGGTTCAACACGACAGAACCTTTTAGTTTTTTCTATATAATACTATTGTACGAACCAAGATGATGGTGAATTGAATTTCTTTCTTTTGGAAGACACGGCGTTGTGTCCTTTCTCTATCCGGAACATCGATTTTAGGCTAAACGCGCGACGGATGCTACCTATGATTTCAAGGCGTTTAAAGGTATGCATCTCCACCTCACCCCCGAGACCTCCGAGAAGTTCTCTGGGACAAATGAGTGTTGTTACTGGTACTTCATGCAGTGGATCTGCAGCAATTATCATTAGAAATAGCCATGACACAGCATCAGGACTGCATGGTGAGGGGTACCATGTCATTCCCTCAGTACTTAATGCCCGGCTGTTTGAACTAGATTGCTCATTTGTTCAGCACAAATCACCTCTTGTTTTCATCAGAAAACAGCCGATTAACCACCGCTAACAATCTTGTGTACCAAAATGCTCTACGCCGAAGACGACAAGCTCGTCTTCCGTTTCGATGACCACATCCTCTGGGTGCAGCCATGGGGCGAGAATGCCTTCCGCGTGCGTGCAACGAGACAGGCATCAATTCCAGCGGAAGATTGGGCCCTCTCCTCCAAGCCATCCAGCCCAAGCCCAAGCATCGAGATATCCGCTGACCAAGAAGCGACTATCACCAATGGCAACATCAAAGCAACCGTGACACGCAGGGGAAAGATCGTCATCTATGATTCAAAGGGAAACAAACTCCTTGAGGAGTATGCCCGCCACCGCCAGGACCCAATGGATCCCAAGTGCAGCGCGTTGACTGTCGAAGCTCGCGAGCTGCGTCCAATACTAGGCGGCGACTACCACCTCACTATGCGATTCGAGTCTCTCGATCATAAAGAGAAGATCTTCGGTATGGGGCAGTATCAGCAGCCCTACCTGAACCTGAAAGGCTCAGACCTTGAGCTGGCACACCGTAACTCGCAGGCCAGTGTTCCTTTTGCGATTTCGTCGCTCGGCTACGGCTTCCTCTGGAATAACCCCGGCATCGGACGGGCGGTTCTGGGAACAAATATTATGAGTTTCGAAGCGTACTCGACCAAGGCATTGGATTATTGGGTTGTGGCGGGTGATACCCCGGCGGAAATTGAAGAAGCATATGCTAAAGTGACAGGTTATGTTCCTATGATGCCAGAGTATGGTCTTGGTTTCTGGCAGTGCAAACTCCGCTACACGAACCAGGAGCAGTTGCTCAATATTGCTCGCGAGTACCGGCGTCGTGAGGTTCCTTTGGATTTGATTGTCATTGACTTCTTCCATTGGAAGCATCAAGGGGAATGGAGCTTTGATCCGGAGTTCTGGCCAGATCCAGGTAAATTATGGTTCTTTTTCATAACATTTCGATAGCATGATCCACTAATAGAGAACGTCCGATTCCAGAGGCCATGGTCAAGGAGCTTAAAGGGCTTAAAGTCGAGCTCATGGTTTCCATCTGGCCTACCGTTGAAAACGCATCCGAGAACTTCCCAGAGATGCTCGAACAAGGACTTCTCATCCGCCACGACCGCGGTATGCGCGTAGCGATGCAATGCGACGGCGACATCACACACTTCGACGCAACGAACCCAGCGGCCCGAAAATACATCTGGAGCAAAGCTAAGCAAAACTACTACGATATAGGAATCAAAACATTTTGGCTCGACGAAGCCGAGCCCGAGTATTCAATCTACGACTTCGACATCTACCGCTACCACGCTGGCAGCAACCTGCAGATCGGAAACACCTACCCGAAAGAGTACGCACGGGGGTTCTACGAAGGCATGGCTGCAGAGGGTCAAACGAACATAGTCAACCTCCTACGGTGCGCATGGGCAGGCAGCCAGAAGTACGGAGCGCTCGTGTGGAGCGGCGACATCGCGTCGTCGTGGAGCTCATTCCGCAACCAACTCGCAGCAGGCCTGAACATGGGACTAGCTGGGATCCCATGGTGGACGACAGATATCGGTGGCTTCCACGGCGGTAACCCGGACGACCCTGTGTTCCGCGAGCTGTTTACGAGATGGTTCCAGTGGGGGGCATTCTGCCCGGTTATGCGGCTGCATGGTGACCGTGAGCCGAAGCCGGAGGGACAGCCGACAGCTACCGGGGCGGATAATGAGATCTGGTCATATGGAGATGAGGTTTATGAAATCTGTAAACGGTATATTGGGATTCGTGAGCAGCTTCGTGGGTACACGCGAGGGCTGATGCGGGAGGCTCATAAAAGGGGGACTCCTGTGATGAGGACTTTGTTCTATGAATTCCCGTCGGATGAGCGGGCTTGGGAGATTGAGACTCAGTATATGTTTGGGTCGAAGTACTTGGTGGTGCCTGTGTTGGAGCCAGGTCAGCGTAAGATCAAGGCGTATCTGCCGGCTGGGGCATCGTGGAAGCTCTGGGATGAGAAAGATACGGTGTTTCAGGGCGGTCGCGATGTCGAGATCGAATGTCCGATTGAAAGTATGCCTGTCTTTGTTCGCCAGTAGATGGTGGACTTGGGATGAAAGACTTAGCAAGCTGTTCTTCGGTCATACAATTCTGTTCCCCCTGCTTTGTTGGCTCCAAAAGTACTGGGCCATGATGATCTAGCCCCCTCCTTTTCTATTTTCTCTCCTATTTAGGTATGATAGCAGCAATGCTCCACACATAGTGGCTAAAGTACAGTGTCTCCTTCCAAGTTTGTACTAGATATCAAACATCTAACATTCCTTCGAGTCGGGCCGCCGTTGCCAAGTGTGATCCCAGCAGATTATATACCCAATCAAGGCAACCTTGGATATTGAATCCCCCAACTGCATTAGGAAGGACCACGTCAGTTATACCGATTTGCCACAGCATAAAGCCCCTGAGCTTGCAAGTTTTCCGAATACAAGCGCGTACAGAGCACTAGATATCAAACATCCTATATTCCTTCCAGTCAAGCTGTTGTAGCCAACAGTTTAGCTTAGCAGACTATCTACGGAGTATCCAGTCAAGACAAATAAGACAAATCAAAGTCCTGATCCATACTGGGAAGGACTACGTCAATTATACCAATTTATCGCGACAAAACATCCCCTGAAGTTGCAGGTTGCATATACGCGCAACGATAGATGCCCAAGGCAGCAATCGTTCATAAAACAAAAACTCCACTTATGCATAGAAGCCCATCGAAACTCAAAATCCGATTGGAAATAATCACGCAACCGTTAGAAACCTTCTACTCCGTACAGTACCCAGAAATAAAGAAACACCCAAGAAAGAAAGAGTATCCCGAACAAGAGACTCCAAAAACAAGCCTGTAATTTGGAACCCTGCCAAACCAGCCGCCACAGCTCCTAATCAGCAACACCGCCACCATCGGAGCCACTTACCCAGAAAGGAAAACGAAGTCAATCCGTGGTTAGGGGGTTTAGTAGCGCTGGAAATGTGAGGCTTTAGTTTCGGGAAAGTCCCGAAGAGCGGGGATTTGCAAAGCTCTCACCTTGGCCGCGGGTATGGGCAGAAGCGCAAAAAAAAAAAGAAAAAAGAAAAAAAGGGCTCACGCGGCTAGGCAGCTATCGTGTGTACCGACAGGCGGGTACCTTTTGGCGCTAGAGCTGTCTTAGAGTTAGTGTTAGATTGCACCGAGATTCTCCGTGGCCAATCAAGGGACGGTATTATATAAGGCGGTTATTGCGGTGTCGGTTGGCTTTTGTGTACGGAGTAGATTAAAACTCTATTGTATACGGAGATGCCATCAGCATTGATAGACGTGCGATATATATAGAGAGATTGATAGTTGTTTAATTTTAGAATGCAATATAATATGTAATTTATTAATATCCATGTCCAGGTGAATGATAGTAGAAAGAGATTGTACAGACGCAATACCCAGTAACATCCAAAGTCGATGACTGCTGATAGTTTTGCCGAGGCCCGAATCTCAATCTCGATCGCTCTTACACACATGAATGGATCCCAAAATTGAGCCCGGCAAGACTGCTCTATAGGGCGATATTGGCCGTCGATCACCAAGAACCGGCATCTTGGAACTCAACGGTAGGAGAATGAATCCATGGATCGAGTCCCAACGTGCGCATGTCAAACCATGGAAGGAACAGTCAAAATTATAAGTGTGTATTTGGTATTACTACTTGGTATATTGCGGTATACCCCTGACCCTTCCCTTCTCCTCCCATGGTAGGTGCTGTATTTGATATCCACACCAGCGGAGCGAAACTCCAACGGCTCGTTTCAGCTAAGAAAACCGATCCGATCTGGCCTTGGCGCCGTTTTCCATTTTTGTTATCGTGTGCAGGTGCCGAGTGGTGGTCAGGGCAGTGTTAGCGGCAGCCATTGAACTTTCTTTGCCCTATGCCTTGGAAGGAATTAGAGTTTCACGGTATTTCTTTTTACTGGGACTCGGGTTTCTTTGTAAGAGTAAGATAAAATACTACCATCCGTATCCCTACCAGGAGAATATCAAGAAAAGATGAAAACGGTAAATCGTAACCATAACAGCAAATTTTCTCCCGTGTGAGTTCCATGGTCCGCATCCCGTTTGGATCCACACAATGCAGGTAAACACAAGTATGGATATATAGATGTCGGTACGGTATGCAATCAGAACGGGAATTAAGCTAAAAGATTCAAAATACATACAACAACTGGGAACTCGCAGATCGTCTACAATGTCAATGTTAACGTACCGTGATTACCTTGTACCTACAAAATAATATCACATGTAATTATATCCTGATTTACCGAACTATTGTTGCCCTATCACACTGAAAGGCA